GATGAGATAAGCAACGCGAAACGAAAGGAACGTCACTGGGGGAACCGCGGGGCGGATGCCGGGGGAACCGCCCGGGGCGAGTGCTATGTTATGCTGATGCAGCGCTGCGCTATGCTAAGTTAAGCTAAGCTAAGCTAACCCTCTAAGCAGAGCCTAGGTAGGGAATTACACCCTTGCTATGATATGCGATGCTGCGCTATGCTATGCTTCGCTATGCTGTGCTGTGCTCTGGTATGCTAAAGCTCAGCGCAGCTAAGATGAAGGTACGCTAAGCTAATATAAACCTGAGGTAGGATGAAGCTAAGCTAAGGTAAGATGAAATAAGCTAAGCTATGATGAGATAAGCAGCGCGACGCTAATGGAACGTCACTGGGGGAACCGCGGGGCGGATGCCGGGGGAACCGCCCGGGGCGCATTCCACTGCCAGGCCCTTCAAGCCTCAGAGCAAGAACCCTTCTAGGCAGAGCCTAGGTAGCGAACAAACGCGGGTCTCGCACCATGCATGTCCCCAAAAAAAACCGGTGCTCTTGCGAATCCTTGGGAAATTCAACCAAACGCAGCTTTCGCGCGTGCATTTCGAAATCATTCGAACGCTCTTGCGCGCGTGCTGGGGGGGCGGGGGGGGGTCACGCTCTTTGCCAACGAATTCCATGCGGGCCACCCACGCCCATCGGCCGCGCGCGTGCCGAAACTGTCCACGACCGTCACGACCGACACATGGTCACCATCATCGCCATCGGCGTGAACACCATCGGCGCCGTCATTGGCTTTGCCGTCGTCATCGTCGTCGCCAACAACATCGATACTATCATCGTTGTGTCTGTCGATGTCGACGTCGCCATGATACCGCGCCCGCACGACCCACTGGCTCGCACAGGAGTGCCCGCGCGGCAGCGCGGCCTGCGAGACGCATTGCGCAGTGCCCAGCGGTCAGCGCCACCGCGGCCGCCGGTCGCGCCAGACTAGCTGGCCGATCTGCGTGTGAGCCTGCGCGCGACAGCGCGGCCGCAGCGATGCGCCAGCCAACGCGAAACAATCATGGCAGTCGCCGCCGCATGGGTTGTGCAAACAACGTTGCGGGCGAGTGGGTGGGATGATTGCGCGAGCAGTGGCGTTGACAACTTCACCTTCGGCAGGGTGAATTCTCCTCTTTCTTTCGAAATGACACGATACCCCCCTCCCCCCCACACCGGGACTTATCAACCCAGCCTCGCGCACTGTAGTTTACATATCATTTCGCCGCCTTCTTCATTCACAAAACATCCCAGCCAGGCCGGAATTTGCCAACCCTTCCTCCTCTGCACAGAACTTGTGGGGTCCCAAACCTGGATAGCAGGGCGCCAGAAAGGCGCGCGAAACCCTGTGGAAGAAGCCTGGAAGCTTCCGAAAAAGAGCTGCTGAAGGACCTGGAAAGAATTTCCGAAGGACGTTCTGGTGAACTTCTGGGCACGCGCGTTTGGAAATGCTTGGAAAAAAACAGCTGGAGCACGCTGCCGGTTCAAACAAGCCGCAATGGCCGCGTCGGTCGCGCCAGACTAGCTGGCCGCTCTGCGCGCGAACATGCGCGGGCTAGCGCGGCCGCAAAGATGCGCCAGCGAACGCGAAGCAATCATGGCAATCCGCCGCATGGGTTTTGAAAACCAAATTGCGGGTGGGTGGGTGGGATGTTTGCAAGACCATGGAATGTGCCGACTCGATTGTACAAATCAATTGAACCACGTCGATTGCACCACGCAGGCTGCGCCACACATATTGAACCAAGTAGCTGCACCACGCGGCATGCACCACATTCATTGCACCATGCAAATGGCACCACTGTGCTTGAACCACGTAGACTTCAACACGTAGTATGGTATGACACAATGTTTGGGTCCACGCTGGCTAGCGGCTGTGGATCTGGACAGATATCTTTTCGAGTCGCAAGACCCCACCACACTCAACTCCCTCTTCCACGGGGGCGCCTGCTATCATCCCGCATGCTTGTTTGTTTGTTTGGCAGTCCTGGGGCCTGGAGGCGGCGTCCAGACGCAGATGATCTGAGGAGACCAAACAACGCATGACCATAACGACTGCACTTAAAATTGAATGCACGAACCTCATGGAAAACAGCGGCATCAACAGCACCAACATCAACAAAGCCTGCAAAGATCTCGGAGCACGCAACTCTTATCACTCATGACCAGGTAAGAAGCCCCTCTATGCGAAACCAAATGTGCGGGAACAAGAACCATGTTCAAAACGAAAACCCCGATCATATGCAATTGTGTGTACCGCGTTGTGGGTACCGATTTCAGTGGAGCCTTCATATTCTGAAGCCACGAAACGCGTGATGGGGTGTGCAGTGGTAGTGGCGGGGGGGGGCGCATGCGGCCGCGGCAAGTGGGGTCCTCAGTGGAGTTCCCTATGGGACCACGGAGCGCTGTACTGATGGGGGGGACACGCATGCGGCCGCGGCCACTGGAACGTACGGTGGAGCTCTGTGCGTCCACGATGCGCGGTGCTGGGTGGAAGATCATGCGACCGCGGCCACATGGGCCTCCGGTGAAGTTCCCTACGCGGCCACGAAACGCTGTACTCGGAGGGGAGACGCATGCGGCCGCGGCAACTGGGGCCTTCGGTGGATCTTTTTGGGGGGCCAAGAAGCGCTGTACCGGGCTGGGGTGACGCATGCAAACGTCGCCTCTGGGGCCTTCGGTGGAGCTCCTTATCAGGCCCCGCTGCGCTGTTCTGGGCGGGGAAGACGCATGCGAACGTCGCCTCTGGTGCCTTCGGTGGAGCCCCCATAGCGCTGTTCTGGGCGGGGGAGACACATGCAAACGTCGCATCTGGGGCCTCTGGTCGAGTTCCCCATGAGGTCACGAAGCGCTGTGCTGGGCGGGGGTGGCACGCTCGAACGACCCCTCTGATGCCGTCGGAGGAGCTCCCTGTGGAACCACGAAGAGCTGCACTGGGGTTGGAGACGCATTCGAACGGCGCCTCTAGGCCCCTCGGTGGAGCTGCCTACGGGGCCACGAAGCGCTGTGCTGGGTTGGGAAGGCGCATGCGACTGTCGCCTCTGGGGCCTCCGGTGGAGCTCCCAGTGAGGACACGAAGCGCTGTTCTGGGCGGGCGAGAAACATGCGAACGGCGCCTCCGGGGCCTTCGGTGGAGCTCCTTATGGGGTCACGAAACGTGTGAGGGGTGTGCCGATCTGGTTGACATGCGGAGGGCAGAGGCAGGGATGAGAGGAGAGAGAGGGGGAGGAACAAGGAGGAGGAACGCGGGGCGCTGTCTCTCCAAAACGAGGACCCAACACCACAGGAAGATTTGGGGAAAAACTCCACAAGCACATACTTTGGGAAGCCATCGCGGATTTCTCGGATCGGCTGTGTACTCCCCTCCCCTGGCGCGCGGAGCGCGTCACGAGCAGCGCCAGAAGCGCCACCAGGGGGGCCCATCACCGATACCAAACATCTTGTGTTGCATCTTCGCAAGACCTTGTCTGTCCCGTCGCGCCGCGATCCGTGTCGAATCCGTGTCGAACGCGTCGAGTCCGACTCGAATCCACGTCGGATTCACGTCGAATCCACGCAGAACACAAATCGAAATGCAAGAACATACTGCTATCTGGAGGACAGGAAACGTCCGCCGAATATGCAAATTGAGAATTCCACGCGGCTTTTTGGGCAATTTCCTTCATGCCGCGTTTTCAAGCCAACTTGTTGTATTGTTCGCGATCACGCCCGTGACCGGCCCAGCCCCTACCACGCCCCCCGCTGGTCACGTCATCATTCGCGCCTGCGCCGTGTAGGAATTAGTAATCTTTAGGCGTTACGGAATGGCTCCGGCGCCAGTCGTGACATGACTGGCCCCCTCACCCTGGGGATGATTATCCGAGCGAAGACCCCACCCAAATGCATTTGTGGGTACCGAGTTGTGGGCACCGCTTTCGGTCGAGATCCCGATGGGGCGCAGTGGAGCTCCATGTGGGGCCACGAAGCGCTGTGCTGGTTTGGGGGAGGCACAGGAAGCGCACGCGGACGCGGTATCCTATGGGGCCAAGAAGCGCTGCACTGTGCAAGACAGACGCATGCGAACGTCGCCTCTGGGGCTTTCGGTGGAGCTCCACATGCGGACGTCGCCTCTGGTGCCTTCGGTGGGGCTCCTTATGAGGCCACGAGAAATCTACTGGGAGGGGGAGACGCATGCGAACGTCGCTTTGGGGGCCTTCGGTGGAGCTCCCTGTGGGGCCACGAAACGTTGTACTGGACGGGGAACACGCATTCGAACGCGGCCAATGGACCGTTCGGTGGAGCTCCCGATGTGTCCACGAAGCGCTGTTCTGGGTGGGGGAGACGCATGCGGCCGCGGCCGGTGGATCTCCCTATGGGATCACGAAGCGCGTCTGAGATTTGAAATGATAGCGAAAAACCTGCGGGGCGATGCTGGCGAGGCGCGGGAGGTCTGGGAAGAAGGGCGAAGGAGGGCTGCGTGCCCTGAAGCTCGCCGGCTGGGCTGTTGCTCGTTCCAGGTGTTGGGCCACGAGCGGGGGATGTGTTCGTAGAACTTGCGCAACGAGCAAACAACAAACTGCATAAACAGAAACTTTCGGAGGTCCGCGCAGGTTGCTTGGATCTGCACCTGTTCCTGGACGCGCCAGAGGCGCCGCCAGATGGGTCCAGCGCCGATCCATGACATCCACGCGGATCTCCGAAATGAGCAGCATTGAACAGGAACGAAGCCCTTCTCACCAAATCGGGACGAATCTTCCTGCTGGTCGAGACCCACATCAAAGAGTGACACGCCTCCTCCTCCAACCCAAACGTGCGCTCTGCTGCGACGCCCTGGCTGTGCCTCGCCCGATACTGCGCACGCCGAGAACTAACCACCGCCACGGGGAACCCAAAACGTACTGATACGGACCTCTCCTGGGGTGCGTTCTGACAAGAATTTCGAAGGGAATCCAGCAAGGGTAGCAGTATGGGTGCCTTTTGCTCTTGGGATTTGTCCCACTTGCGGACCATGTGACAAACTCGTCCCACGTGATCGTGTCCACCGAGTCCCCGACGTCACTCAGCGGGTTGCGGGTCACGCCTGAAGAGGAAAGGCGTGCAAGATCCATCGGGTGGGCCTAAGCCGACGACTGCGAATATGCGTGCGCGCGTGCTCGTGGGCATGTTCACACGGATGGATCACTATATGGGGGAGAGCGAGAGAGAGAGAGAGAGAGAGGGACAAGTGATCCGGGCGAACGCCTCAACCACGTACGGAACGGAACGGAAGCCGGCTAGTGGCTCCGCGAGGGAGCTGCGGGGAGGCCTAAGCCCACTCACTTGTTGATGTACCCCTTGTTGATGTACTCCTCTTTTAAGGTATCCCACACCGGTGATTTTGCCAACTGCACCCAACTTCCATGGGCAGTTGTCTGCACATGTTGTTTGATGATACCGCAGTGCGGTTGAAAATACCGCAGTGGTGCGTATCCTCTGCTGTGGAGCTCCCCATGGGGCCACGACACGTGTGAAGGGTGTGCCGGAATGGGTGGCGGGGACGCATGTGGTCACAGCCACTGGGGCCTTCGGTGGAGCTCCAGATGGGGCCACGAAGCGTGTGAGGGGTTTGCCGAAGTGGGTGGCGGGGACGCATGCGGGCACAGCCGCTGGGGCCTTCGGTGGAGCTCCCTATGAGGTCACCAAACGTCTGAGTGGTGTGCCGAAATTGGTGGTGGGGCGCATGTGGTTACAGCCGCTGGGGCCTTCTCAGGAGCTCCTATGGGGCTACGAAGCGTGTGAGGGTATGCCGAAATCGGTGGCGGGGACGCATGTGGCCACGCTCCCTATTGTGCTACGAAGCGTATGAAGCGTGTACCGACAAGGTTGGCGGGGACGCATGTGAGCACAGCCGCTCGGGCTGTCGGCGACAAGTGTGAAGGGTGTGCCGAAATTGGTGGTGTGGTGGATGTGGTCACAGCCACTGGGGCGTCCGGTGGAGCCCCTATGGGGCCATGAAACGTGTGTTGGGTGTGCCGAAGTGAGTGGCGGGGACGCATGTGGTCACAACCACTGGGGCCTTCGGTGGAGCTTCCTCTGGGGCCATGAAACGTGTGAAAGGTGTGCCGATGGGTGGCGGGGACGCATGTGCTCACAACCGCTAGGGCTTACGGTGGAGCTCCATATGGGACCACGAAGCGTGTGAGGGGTGTGCCGAAGTTCGGTGGAGCCCCCTACGGGGGCACGAAACGCTGTACTGAGGAGGAAAACGCGGTGATGTCTCTTGCACACGAGGGCCCAACAACAAATGATGGCTGGGACAAAACAATCTTTGCGAAGGACCCAACCACATCGACTTCAGTGGATCCCCTCAGGGGGGCTTGGGTGGAGCTGCCTGTGGGGCCACGAGTCGTGGGAAACATGTGAGGGGATGTGAGCGTGGACGCATGCGAACGATGGCACTGGGACATTGGGTGGAGTTCCCTGTGGGGCCATGGGCCGTATGATGGGTGTGCCGAAATCGGTGGGGAACCGCATGCACACGTCGCCATTGGAACCTTCGGTGGAGCTCCCCACGGAGGCACTAAACGTGTGAGCGGTGTGCCGAATTAGGTAGCGGGGACGCATGCGGATAATGACGCTTAAATTTTCGGTGAAGCTCCGTGTGGGGCCGCGAAACGTTCGAGGGGTGTGCCAACATGGGTGGCGGGGACGCATGCGGACGGCACCACGTGGGGCCTTCGGTGGAGCTCCCTATGGGGCGCGTGTGAGGGGTGTGCCGACATGGGTGGCGGGGGCGCATGCGATCGTCGCCATTGGCGCCTTGGGTGGAACTCCCTTGGGGCCACGAAACGTGCGAGGGGCGTGTAGAAATGAGCGGCGGGGAAACATGCGGATGACGTCATCATTGATGGGGCCACGAAACCTGCGAGGGGTGTACCGAAATTGGTTGCGGGGACGCATGTGGGCGGTACAGATTGGGCCTTGGGTGGGGCTCCCTGGGGACCACCTGGGGACCACGAAAAGTGTGATTGGTGTGCCGAAATGGGTGGCGGGGGCGCATGCGGACGGCACGATTGGGGCCCTCGGTGGGGCTCCCCATGGGGCCAGAACACGTGTGAGGCGCGTGCCACCATGAATGGCGGAGACGCATGTGGACGGCACCATTTGGGCCTTGGGTAGTCGAGCTCTCTATGGGACCACGAAACGTGTGAGGGGTGTGCCGAAATGCGTGGCGCCGTTGCTTAAGCGTAACCGTTACTCAAGCCAGCTGGGCAAGAACAGCGGCCCAGCCCGGCGCCTGGGCCCGCGCGTAGGGCAATCCGCGCGCATTGCCGATGTCGGGCGTTCGCGGCGGCGGCGGCTGGCAGGGCAGATCCAGCGGTGCTACCAGAGCCACGGAAGCCATGCTGGGGGGGCCCCTGCGGGCAACTGGGCGTGTCGCTTGCACTGCCAGCGCTGCGGCAAGTCTGCGCCGCAGCGGATCGCGGATGCCGCCCAGGCGCCTCAAGCAGCAGCCGCGCCTGCACTTCGAGACCGAGGCGGCGAAGGCGCAAGAGACACTGCGCCAGCCGACGCGGCGCTGCTGGCGGTGCAGGCGGAGGCAGGGCCAGCTTGCGCGCCGCCTGCTGCCGAGCTCACCGAGGCTGGGGGCGACCGTCTCTCATTATCCTCACGGCCGCCACGTCGGTGTCGTAGCAGCGCGGAGATGGCGCTGGCAGCAGCGCCGGCAACGCTGCGGCGCTCGTCGCGCAGCTCCGCGAGCTGGTCGTCGCGACCGTGTGGGGCCAGCGCGCAGGCTCCTGCCCCTGGTGCGGCGGCGTACGTGGGAGGTCCCGCCGCCTCTGTGCGCGCCGCTGCCCCTGGCGCTGGAGGCGCCCCGGGCGCTGGGGCCCTCGCAACTCCTGGCGATGCGCCGCCAGGAACGGCACCGCCAGCACTGCGCTGCCAAGGACCGCCGGCGGTGCACCGTCAGGAGGCCTGGGTGCTGGGGCCGCCGCAGCCCCAGTGCCTGGGCCGCCCGAGTGCCTCCTCCAGGCCGCCTTCACCCGAGGCCGCTCGCAAAGCGCAGACAAAGGCGTGGCGGCGGGCACTTGAGCGCAGCCGGGGACGCTGCCGAGGTTGCTGGGCGGACCGCCGGAGGAGCCATCGAGGCCGCCAGAGCGGCCGGCGGGCCCGCCAGGGCGACTGGGCCGCAAGCCCATCGTGTTGTGACGGCGCCGCGGTCGGTCACAACATCGGCCGCTGGCGCCTGGGGCGCCCGCGAGGTCGCCCGTGCCGCCTACAAGGACGGCGGGCCGCCAAGGCCGCCCGGGGGCCTCACTACATGGACGATTTCGTCCACGCAGCCGCCGCCGGGGAGGCGAGGCCGCTAGCTAGGGCCGCCGGCGCCACATTGACGCTGTGGAGAGAGGCCTGAACGTCGCCATGGAGCTGCAGGAGGGCGGTTGCCGGAGGCTTCGCTCAGCAACCTCGCGCGAGGCGTGCCTCGCGGCGGCGGCAGCTGGGAAGATGGGGCCCTGGGCCCACCTGGGGGGTGGCTGGAAGCGCGCCGACGGGTCCCTCGGAGGCAGCGGCGCCCGGGAAGATGGGCCCCCGCCCGTCTTCCCACCACGGGCGCGGCTGGCAGCGCCCGAGACGCCTGGCCCCTCGGCGGCGGCAGTCCCTGGGAAGCTGGAGCCTTAGGCCCCCTCTCGGCCCCGCGTGAGGCGCCTGCCCTGCGGATCTCGGCCTGACCCGAGGATCTCGGAGTCCTGCCCCCGTCGGACGCCTCTACGGGTGGTGGGACACCTGGGAAGGGGAAAGGTGCCTTGGAATGGGAGATAACAATCAGGGCTGGGTGGGGGCCCCGTGCGACGGCCTGCTGGCGCGGTTGGCCGTGGCGAGGCTTCCGCGTAATTAGGTGAGGCGGCGCACCCCGTGCCCGCGCAGCGGCCGTGAGAGCCGCGGCCAGGAGAGGTGCGCGTGCTGGTGGCCAACGTGACGCCAGCTGGAGCGGGGCGCTGGCGGCCGAGGCTGCCGCACGCTGCCTCCAGGAGGCCCGCGTCCCCGTGCGCGACGGTGATGCAGCTGCGGCGGCGGCGCAGGCACGCGGTATGCGGCTTCATCTTGGGCCGGCCGTCGACGGGGAGCATCTGGCCGCCGCGCACGCCCCTAGACAGTGCGCGGCGCGATCAGAGCTCAAGGAGGGCCTCTCCGGCCGCCACCCTGGCTAGCACCAGCATATGGCCGTGCACCTCGGCCAAGGCTGCGCCATGCACTGCCTGAACTGTTACGGCTGCGCCAGTGGCCAGAGTAATCTTGAGCGCAATGCTGACCTCTTGCTGGGCGAAAGGGGGGGACAGCAAAGGGGTGCTTTGAGAATCAGCTCACGTAGCTGGTTTTCCTGGTGCCTCCCCGCGCCGTGGGCCCGGCGGCGGGGCCGAAACCAGCTGCATGCAGCAAATTTCGTAACCCCCCCTTTCCCTATCCCCCCCTTTCGTTCGGCCCGACCTAATTCGGGGGCGGGCAACCGCACGCCTGGCCGGGGACCTCAGCTGCGGCCTCGCTGCAGTGCTCGAGGGGCAGTCTGGCATGGCCGGTTGGCGGTTGGCGCGACCTGCTGGCCGAGTGCGGCCCTACGCTTACGTTGCCCCCATCGTACTTAAGAAGCACATCCCGGAGATAATTTCGCGCACCCAGAAAATATCGACAAAATGTCGAACGACCCCATCGCTTCCGAGGGCCCGATACGTGCAAACCTCCCGTTTCGGTACTTTCTTGGTGCTCGAAATTCTTCCTGGTGGTCAAAGCCAGAATAGGTTGGCACATCGTAGCCCTACGCGCGTGCCGTCCCAGGATGAACCCACTCGCATCCACTGCGTGCTCACGAATGCTGCGGCGTTGGGCCTCCGCCGCCGCGCCAGAGCAGGCACCCAATCGGCAGCCCGTGCAGCCCCCCCTCGGGCGCCGCTGCGGCCGGATGAAACCCGGGAGTTGCGCGCGCCTTAGACGCAGTCGTCCAGTCATCGCACGGCGCTGTCTTCCATCGTGCCCTGGAGCAGCACGACGTGGACGCAGCGTGGCTAGAGCTCAACTCGGCAATGCGGACCCGGTTGTCCGCCCGGCTGGGGCCCTGGGAGGCCCTGGCCATGCCGCATGCGGCAGCTTCGTGGCAGACAGATCGCCCACCTGCGAGTGGGGTCCACCCAAAAGAATGTTCGGGATCCAGAAACGGCCGCTTCCAAAATAGGAGGGGGGCTGGCTCAGGTGGGGGACATTGACCCGGAATCGGCGATACATCGCAGATGCATTGGCGATGGTCCCTGGTTGGCGAAATCACCTTGCGTTCTGGGGCGATCGGCGATGGATGGGCGACTGGGGGAAAAAATTGTCGGATGTCCGCGCGGATGTCATGGATCGGTGCTAGACCCCTCCCTTCGCAGCGCCTTAAGCGCCGCCGGGGGGGGCAGCGCCAATCGAACGAATCAACGCGGACCCTTGAAAGTTTGCACTCTGGCCGTAGGCGTCTAGAAGCCTCTCGAACGGGGTCCGAGTAGATGGGGTCGGGAAATCGCGCCGCATCGCCGATGCAGCGCCGATGCATCGGCGATGTCGGCGATGCATCGGCGACGCCGGCGTGCAAAAAGTTGGGTTCCACATCGTGTTGCATCCCCGATGTATCGGCGATGCGGCCCGGTCAAACAGCCGCATCTGCTCGTACCCCATCCGGGAGGCCTAGAGCGTCGAAGGCGCCGCCAAGCGGATCCAGCACGGATCGATGAAATCCGCGCGAACTTCTGGGGACGATATGAAGAAAGCGAAGATGAAGAGGGGATAAACAATCAAGACGTAAAAATGCTTAAACGCTCCTGGCCCGAACCCGAAAGCCATCCTGTGAATCATTCCCAGGGTAGCAATGCCCTGGTGGAGCTGGGAGAAGCGCGAAATAACATCTAACCTTGAATAATTTCTGTGGGCTGCCACTGTATCGCCTGGACTCGGATAGCGCCGGATAGCGTCCGCCAGCTTTCCCAGTAACGTCCGACAGCATCCCGCGACGCTCTGGGAACCTGAACCGGAAATGATTCACATTGCGGTCGTCTCCACAGACGCCGAACCAACGGTCGCGGCCGCGGCCGCAATGGTACCCGCGATCGCGGTATGAATCGTTGTCGCGTTCACATCCGTGGGTGGGCGCTGCGTTATTGCCGTAGCTGGCACGCGCACGGTTGCTGTAACCGCGGCGGCAAGGATCGAAACCACAGACGCATTCGCTGACCGAGGCTGCGGTCCCGGTGGGTGCAGCGATCGAACAAAGCTAGTAGCAACAACACTTGCTGTCGTACTGGCGTTCCCCATGTCGTCCCCAGACAAAGCTGCAAACAATATTTCTGTCTGCTCGCTTTCCAGGGTGCATCGACATGGCCCAGGGGCTTGCTTCTGTGATTTTCGTTCTGGCAGCCAGGGGCAACAGTGGTACTGAAGACGGCCGACGTCTCATCAACGTCAACAGCCCGCGGGACCGCCATCAAGCGCCACACATATCTTTCGTTGATCGCGAGCGTCGCGGAACCAACCGCGCACCGTCAGGAAGTCGTGAAGCGAGCCAAACAGGCGACAAGCGGAAAAGGGCCACAACGGTGACGACAAGTACGCTGTGGAGGGGAAAACGAACAAGAGACACGCGGGAAGAGAGCTAGGCGAGACAGGGGCGGACGACGAACAGAAGGAGCGGCAGCGGCAGCGGAGCAGAGAGAGAAGATGACAATACAGAAAGACAGAATGCTAAGCCGCAGCTCGAAATCATACCAAGTAGTAGACGGCCGCTCCTTGCCGAATTGCCTGCACTTGTAAAATATTTCAACGTACCCGAACCAATGCACTCAGATGGGATGTCGCGAGACACGAGGAGACCACGGAGTTGACCACCGGCAGCGAGAGGGGCGGTAGCGTGAGGCACTTGCAGCCAAAATCCATCAGGCCATCTCCAGGGCCAGCGCGGTCGAAGAGCAAGGTCGTCACATTCCCCGAGCCCCTGGGGGAGCAAGAGGGAGGGAGCCCGACCGAAGAGGCAGCGGACAGTAAGCACCACAAATACGCGAAGGTCGGAAAAGGAACAGAACGGCATGACATCAGGGCAGCAGCCCGTCCCATGGAATGCATCCTTCTGCTTGTTGTCGGCCACCCGCGCCACTGGCCGCCCCCGCTGCCCTGGCCCCGCTCCTCGCCGGCCATGTAGAACCCAGCGTGGCTTCCAATGATATCCACCCCTATCCCCTTAGCAACCTCCGCGCCGATCCAAGTTGGTTTTCTCAAATGGCGCCAGAGCGAGTCGTGACCGTCATCGGTCACCCTCATCCTCCACCCTCTCCCCCTGGTCACGCCCATCATGGCCAGGAGATGGCATAAAATGATCTCTGCACGCAGCCATTTCCGCACCCCCCTTTCCGAATAGAAGGCGAGGCCAAGACCAGAACAAAATCGGGTCCTACAGGCTCTACTGGCAGCCGTGGCCGTTTCAGGGGGCTCCAGAACGCTCTGAAACGATGCATCCCGGTCCTGGGCCCGCTCGAAACACCCCACCTCCCTCCCTCTCGCCCCACCCTGGCGGCCCCTATCCCAGCCGTCAGAAGGAGCAAAGAGAGACCACACCGCCACCGAGAACCCTCATCGGGGGGTGGGCAGGCTGGCCCCTGGGCGGCGGCACGCCTGGGCGCCAGCCGGTGCCGGACGACGCTCATGCTTGCCTCCGCCCGATGTCTTGAGTTAAAAAATGCGCGGTCCCTGGGAGGAGGAGGAGGAGGAGGAGGAGGAGGAGGAGGAGGAGGAGCAGGAAGAGGAGGAGGAGGAGGAGGAGGAGGAGGAGGAGGAGGAGAAGTCCCAACCCGTTCTCCAGGCCGGCTTTTCAGCACGTGCCGTTCCTTGACGGTCCCAGGGCCCGGCGAGGGAGCAGGAGAAGTGCAAAAAAACCTCCCGTCGCGACCTCGTCACGACTCGACCGAGTCTGGGCCCCGAGGGGCTCTCGGCGGCGGTGGTCCCTACTCCTCTCACTGCCGCTTGGCGTCCGCCCTGCGCGTTCTCGATCGATCGAATCAACAAAAGGGTGCGACAGGGCACCCTCAGCCTCGTCTGCGGTATGTCCGCGCCCTCGTCCTCGTCCTCGTCGTGCTCGGCCTCGTCGTCTTCGTCGTAGTCCTCGCAGTCGTCGCCGCCGTCGTCCTCGCTGTCGGGGTCGGGGTCGGGGTCGGCGTCGGCGTCGGCGACGTCGTCGTCGTCACCGTCTTCGTCGTCGTCGTTGTTGTCGTCATTGCCCTCGTCGTCGTTGTCGTCGCCGTCGTCGTCGCAGTCGTCCTCGCCGTCGCCCTCGGCGTCGTCGTCGTGGTCGGCATCGTCGTCGTACTCGTCGTATTGGTCGTCGTCGTCGGCGGCGGCGGCAGCGGCGGCGGCGGCGTCGTCGTCCTCGCCCGCACAGGTCGCGGCGCGCCGTGCAGGCCCAGCGCGCCGTTCAGCTCGGAGCTCTTCTGCAGGGCCTGGGCGCCCGAGCGCGGGGGCCGCTGAGGGTCGGGGCGGGCCGTCCGAAGAGGGCAGCGTCCAAGAGGCGGGTTCGCAACGTCCGCGGCCCAAGGTCGGGCGTTGGCAGGACTGGGCTTGACTGCGACCTGGTGTAGTGATGCGCACTGGGGGGGGGCGCCCCCCCTCCCATTCCACCAAGTGGACCTGCCGTCACCCGAAGGAGCACCAGCTGTGGCAGACTTGGTTTGGAGATTCTGGTTACTGTTTTGGGGCTCTGGGTCCCAATCACGGGCCCTGGCTATATCCGACAGGGGGTGAACCCGAAAACGTCCTGAAGAAAAACGGTGTGGGGTCCCAAAACAGTGTGGTGACAGGTCGCGCAAAGACCTCGACACATCCCGAAGGACCTCGCCGCACGGTCATTCGCCGCACGCTCTTGGGGCCCTGGACGCCCCAGTCGCCCGAGGCATCCTCGGAGAACGATCCAAATCCGAAAACCGTCTGACCGTGCGGTCACCCCGAATACCCACTGATTCACCACGCCGTCGCAACCCCGAGATCCTGGCGTCACATTTTTACTCGCGACGGGTGACGCTGCCTTGCGTCGGACCCCAAAGCCCTCGATCGATCCAGTTCGAACAATGCAGCAGAAATGTGGGGTTCAGGGCTCTGGTCTCGAGTTTGATCACTGTGTTGCGATTCTTGTCGGAACTGGAATCTCAAGGATAAATGATTAAGGGCTGTTCAGCCCGACTGTGGGGCCATTGAGTCAGATGAGAACTTCGGCCCGGGATTGTGCAGGAGTCACTGCGAGTTCCACCAGCCCTCTGGGCGTATGTCGTCTAACGACGCTCGTTCTTTCCTCTTCCAAACACCCTCTTCCCCTTCGGGGAGTGGTTTACCCCTCCCCAAACCCCCTCTCCTGGACCTGCACGGGGCGCCCCGCGAGGTGGCTTAGGGTCCTGTTTCGCTCAAGAGGGCTCCAAGAGGGCCTCCGATGCACCAAGATGGCCTCCAAGATGGCTCAAGATAGGGCAACTCGGCTCAGGATAGCTAACAACATGCCTCCAAGAGGCCCCAAGAGGGCCACAAGACGGTTCCAAGTGCTCTCGGAGACCCCTCAGGACCCCCCAAAAGCTCAAAATCCTTCAAAACCTAGGGAAAATCAATGAGTTGTGCCTTCTCGCCGTTTCGCTTCCGACGCGCGTCTGAGTCCCCAACGGGCTCCAAGATTGCCCAAGAAGACCCGCTCCAAGAGACGGTTCTGAGGGCCCCAAGGGGGAGACCAACATAAAGAAATTCCCATAGTTTGATCGATGGCCTCCAAGATGGGCCCAAGAGGCTCTCCAGGACTCCCACCTCCTCCTCATCCTCCTCCTCCTCCTCGTCATCTTCCTCCCGGCGCCCCCACAGGGGCCCTCCAGTGCCACCGCCTTGTTCCCAGAGGTTTCAGTCCCACCAGCACTCTGGGCGTAGGTGGTCTAACGATATTGGTTCTTTCCTCTTGCAAAAACCCTCTTCCCCTTCGGGGAGGAGTTAACCCCCCCTCCCCTGGACTGTTGTTTTGGGGGGTCGCGGGTGGTTGGAGGGCCCTTTTTCGGCCCCTGGGAGGGCCAATGTTTGACACCACCACACATGAAGTACGATTGTCCAGATCTGCCTCATGGCTCTTGTTGAAAATGGCGATCGCGCCCAAATGCGCAGAAACACCTTCTGACCTGGCAGCGCGCTTCAGGCTGACGCTGTCCGCTGACACCCGCCCCTTCGACGTGCTTCCCGTAGACGTTGTGCACAGCACGGTCTCGTGCGCTGGCACGAGCCAACCGCAGCTGCGCAGGATGCCGAACGAGTGCGCAGGAGGCCGCAGGAGGAAGACAACGACACGGGGGAACGAACGACCCAACGACCACCCGTGCGGACAGGTGTTCGGGACCGCTCGAGACCAGGCGGGCGGGGCCAAAGCATCTAACTACGATGGCTGGCGTGCGTGAGGACGTGCACGCGGTAGGGACCTCCCAGACGGGGTCCGAGTAGATGGGGTCCGAGGATCGGGCAGGATCGCCGAGGCATCGCCGATGAATCGGCGACGTCGGTGTAGAGAAAATCGAGCTCCACATCGAGCCGTATCGTCGACGCGCCAGCGATGCGGCGCGGTCCTTCGACCCCACCTACTCAGACCCCATCTGGGAGGCCCCGACAGAAACAACTAAGTGAGGATTGGGACGATGGAGGATGGAGGCAGCGTGGAGGGAAGAAGAGCACGACGACGATGACGAGAAAGGGAGGGCACGAGAGCCCAGAATCGAATCGAGAAGTCGGATCGGCGGTCGAAATACATCGCATCGTCGGAGATCGGCAGCCAAGTCGGGAGAAGTCGAATTAGCGGAAATCGGCAGGCTGGTAAGGCCGCCGTCGAGAAACCGAACTCCAGATCGGAATCCGGAACCTCTCGCACGGGAACCGGATCCGAAAGCCGAGTCGAATCGAGCCGGAGGAATCGACATGCCCTGGATGGGCGGACGAAGGGACGGACGGACGGGAGGCAGAGGTCGAGCTCGACCTGCGGCGCCCGCCTCCAGCAGCGTCGTCTTGTCCGCCCGGGCGCCGTCGCCCACCTGGCGCGGGGCGTTGAGCAGGGACCGACCGTTCCAGTTTTCTGATAGTCCTACCACGAAATGTTCTTAGAACCCAACAGTGTTCTAAGAGCAAACGCAATGTTCTTAGAACATGAACCCGATCTGATAAAACAAGACAGACTCCGCCAGAAATGTTCTAAAGAGCATTTCGTGGAAACCACAAGAGGTTCTTAGAACATTGTTTGGTAGGGCTATGGGCGAGCCGGGACGCTTCGCCACTGCTGGAGGGCGGGCGCGAGTTTGCCCCGGGCCGGGAGCGGGGCGGAGCGGAAAACGGGCCGGCGCACGGCTCCGCGAACGAGCTTTGCCTGGAGGGCCAAGGCGCGCCGACACTTTGATGTAATCGCTCCCTCCTCCTCCTCCTCCTCCTCCTCCTCCTCCTCCTCTTCCTCCTCCTCCTCCTTCAGATGGTCCCACGCCTCTGCCTTCGCGTCCTGTGCCCGATTGCCCCAACCATCGGTTGTCATCACACGGTCTCCGAATCCATCCACCCACCGAGTCTTGGGGCGGCCTGGGCGGCGGGCTCGCGTGCGCAGGTCAAGGTGCGGAGGCCAACTTATCATTTGAAGCTGCCATCCGATAGGTGCCCACTCAGCCCCCTGTCGGGAATCGACTAACAAAAAGTGCCAGAGCTCCACTCGGACTTCTTGGACCGGCGCTGAGCCCCCCCTGGCGCCCCTGGCGCTTCGCGCGCCAGGGAGCGGGGTCCAGCCCCGATCCAAGAAATCCAGGGGTACCTCCGAATGCTTGTGTTCATGCAACTCTTCGTTCGTGGAGGAACGGGGGAGGACTCCAAAGCTCGTAGATTGGCCACGGAAGGTGCGCGCCGGGGAGACTCCAGCCCTGGCGTCTGGTTCCGCGTGGCTCGTTCAACCTTGGGTGGTCGCGGCTTCCCCACAGCACGGACCGTTTGAGATCGACCGGATCCGCGCCACCGGCGGCGTTCACACTTGAACGCCGCGCTGGGGGTCGCCGCCAGGTCGACGCGACACGAAACCGCCGCACGTCGACGCGACACGGACGAGCCCGCGAAGAGGAGCGCAGAACCGGTGAGGAGGCCTCGGAGGTTCGGAGGCTGGCCACGTCCTCGGGGGCTCCAGGCCCACGAGGCCCACGACCGAAGGGCCGACCGGGGGGGGGGGCAATAAGGCGAGCGCACGCCGGGGGGCCCGAGCAGGCCGACGAGGGCTGCCTGGCGCGGCAACGCGGGGCGGAACACGTCTCTGAGGGTCCCGGACCAGTGCGGTGACAGACCGTGCGGCGACCTCGAGATCTCCAAAGACCTCACCGCACGGTCGGTCGCTGCACGGCTTCGGGACCTCGTGGGGCCCCGTCGTCCGAGACGTCCTCGGAGAATGAGACTCGAGCCCCAACAACCGACGGTCAGCCGGGAGCCCCACTAACTCACCACACGGCGTGGCCACCGCACCGTTTGAGAACCACAGGCGTCTGCACACAGGCAGGATTGGAATGGCATGGAATGGTATGGAATGGTGAGTTCGCGAAGCGAAAAACTTAATTAAGGTGGGACGATGCCTCTGGCTCGTTGCTCCGACAACGAGAGAGCCTTTGGCCAGAGCCCGTCACCAATCCTAGCTGAGTAAACCTTGCCAATTCTATCGAGCAACTGCGAACATGGACTGCCGATGTTCCTAACCTGCTGCTGGACAAAATAGCCGCCACCGCCCAGAGGGAACTTGCCAACGGAGGAGCAGGAGGAGGGAGGAGCGTCGAGGCCATCATCACGGGCCGGATCTGGCCGTGGCCATGAGGGTGCCCCGCGACGCCCAGAATCAGGCACCAAACTGTCTGAGAGCCTCGGCGGCTCCCCCAGAAGCCCGACCCTGCGGCAACAATTGCCACGTCGCGAGAGAAAAAAAAACACGACGCGAGCCCCAGACCCAATCTCTCCAAGCCATCTCTCGAGCCTTATCGATCCGTGGCCTCGGGGCCCGAGACTGGGCGAAACCGCCTGGAATGAACAACATGGCAACACCCGGACCTCAGGGTCTGTGCCAGGGCCGAACCTAAACGGTGTTGCTCGTTTTCGTTATGTTTTTGTTCTCCCTCGGGCTGCCTTCGGTCCGCTGGTACCGCAAAACGACATCGAAACGAAGACGGCCCACGAAGTCGCCAGAACGCCGTTTAGGTCCAGCCCTGGTCTGTCCTATGATGGGCCTGTTTTCCACCACCACCACCACCAAAAGGTGGAGGGGGGAAGGAGGAGGAGGAGGAGGAGGAGGAGGAGGAGGAGGAGGAGGAGGAGGAGGAGGACGAGGAGAAGGAGAAGGAGGAGGAGGAGGACGAGGAGGAGGAGGAGGGGAACCCCCTCCCCCTTCAACTTATGGTGGTAGTGGTGGAAAACAGGCCGATCATATCATCCTACATCACGGCGCCCCCGCCGCCTGCTCGAAGGCCATGACGAGCATCTTCCAGACGCTGTCGCGCGAGGTGCCACCTGACGAGGCGCGCGCCGCGCAGCCGAGGGGGACCCGCGGGGCACCTCGCAGAGGCCCTGGCGGCTCCGAGGAGGAGCGGAAGGATGGAGAGAACCCGTCTGTTTGGGCGCGGGCTGCTCAAAATGGCGACAGCTAGCAGGGTCCGATGACCCCCTCGGAATAGAAGCACAGGTTGGTGACCACATAGGAGGGGCTCCCGCTCGAGACTTCCCTGCAATTCACCCACAGACGAGGCCTCCGCTCAAGAATCCCACCAGCCCTTTGGGCGTGAGTGGTTTAGAGAGCTCTCTCTCTGTCCTCAACCCCCCTTCTTCCCCTTCGGGGAGGGGTTTACCCCTCCCCCTACCCCCTCCCCCTGGACATGGACAGGGAGTCCGGGGTGGTGGCAGGGGGGTCTTTTTCGACTCCTGGGAAGGCCAAAAAACGACGACCCTCACGAGGATTCTGGCCCCGACGGGGGGGCCGAGTTTGGCCCCTCTTCTCTTCTTTGAACCAAAAATCATTGATTTTACTACGGTGTTGGCCCCATTTGGGCGTCCTGAGGAGGCCGCGCTCGTCTTCCTTCATAGCAAAATCATTGATGTTACGAAGGTTTTGGGCTCATTTTGTCCTTTTCAGGGGGCAGCTCTCATTGGCGCTTCTGAGGAGGTCGCACGAGGCTCCGAGATGGCCCCAAGAGGCCCCTAGGAGGCTCCTCAGAGGCCTCCAAGAGGCCTCCCAGAGGCTCCTCAGCGGCCCCAAGAGGCCCCCAAGAGGCCCCCAAGAGGCCCCCAAGAAGCCTCAAGAGGCTGCCAGAGGCCCCCAAGAGGCTCCCCAGAGGCTCCCACGAGGCCCCCAAGAGGCCCCAAGAGGCTCCAAGAGGCCCCCAAGAGGCCCCACGAGGAGCCCGAACGACTCACACCAGGACGAGGGGCCCGAACGACTCACACCACGAAGAGCCCGAACGACTCACACCACAAGGAGGGGCCCGAACGACTCACACCAGGACGAGGCGCCCGAACGACTCACACCACGAGGAGCCCGAAGGACTCACACCACGACGCGGGCCCCGAACGACTCACACCACGAGGAGCCCGAACGAGTCACACCAGGAGGAGGGGCCCGAACGACTCACACCAGGATGAGGGGCCCGAACAACTCACACCACGAGAAGCCCGAACGACTCACACCAGGACGAAGAGCCCGAACGACTCACACCACGAAGAGCCCGAACGACTCACACCAGGAAGAAGGGCCCGAACGACTCACACCAGGACGAGAAACCCCAAACGACTCAAATCACGAGGAGCGCTTTCTCTCCCTCCTCCTCCGCCTCGTCCTTCTCCCGCTCCCCTCACAAGGAGGATGTACAAGGAGGCGGGAGGAAGGAGGAACAGGGGAGATATGCGGGGCCAAGCGGACACACGCCTGAAAAACACGACTGTCGGCATGCTTCGCGAGAGTTGCTGCTGTGAGATGGGCTGGTGGGGATACGCGAAGCGTAAAGAATTCCTCAGGGTTCAGGCCTCAGGCGAGTACTGCAGGACCCTGTTGGCTTGGAAAGAGAAGGTGTTGAGCCCATGTGGGAATGGCCCCCACTCGAGGCCTCCTCGCAATTCACTCACCACTGGGACTCCTGCCCAAAGACTGACATCTAGCATCTCAGGCTTTGGGCTGGGCACAGACAGCCCCCCCGGTGTTCCCAGCTGGCTTCAACAGGCCCCTCGAGTCGCCCCGGCCGGCCTCAACAGGCCCCCCCCGAGTAATCTGGGCGGTCTCAACACCCTGGCACCGCCTCCAGCGACCCCCCAGGGCGCTCCGCGCCTCAGAGCTGGGGTGCTGAGACCGCCCTGGGCTACTCGGGGGGCCTGGTGAGGCCAGCTAGCGCTACGTGGGGGGCGAGCATCACAAACATCCAGAGCTTCATCTTCTGCAAGGCCGCCGGACTTGTCGGCCAGTGCTGCCCCTGCCCCGCCTGGACGCCTGTCCTGAAGTCCGCGCTGCAATCTCGGGACATACGCGATGGGGTCCGAGCACGTGGGGCTGGAGGATCACACCGCATCGCCGATGCATCGGTGACGTCGACGAAGCATCGGCGCCGACGGCATGGAGAGAAACGGGCTCCACATCGAGCCGCATCGGCGAGGCGGCGTGATCCTCCAAGACCATCTGTTCGGACCCCACTTGGGAGGCCCAGACAATCGTGGGCTACGATGTTCGACCGAAAGTACCGCCTCGAACATGAGCCGCGGCCACAATCATGATACACCAAAAAACGAATGGGCCTTGCGCGAACTTTGTGGGTCGATCCCCCTCCCCAACACCTCAGGGCTGGGACTCCCGAGTCTGGGCCCTCCAGCAAGCTCGTCGCGCCGACCCAAGAAAGCTGCGAGGAGTTTCGAACATGCCTGCCGAAGCCGCTGGGTCGTCTTCTGAATCAGCACCGCGGCCTGCTGCTGGAGGAACGGAGACGGCGGTGAATCGCCGAACGATCTCTCCAAGACTCCCCAGAAGGCCGAGCACTCCCAAGAGGGCCCCCGAAGAAAAAAACACTGTTTTCCCTTCGGTTTTTGAAACATTTCGGCGTATTCGCCTAGTACGCTTCCCGATGCTCCAAAACTGCCCAAGACGCCCCCAAACTCGCCAAAACGGGCCAAAAAGGATTCCACGAGGGACCCAAAACCGCCCAAGAGGGCCCCCGAACGGCCCAAGACGCCTACAAGACGGCTCAAGAGGCTCCCGATACGGCTCCAAGAGGGTGCCCAGACGAAAGACCAGAACGGACATTTCGAGCCCTCCGCCCCGAGAAGCTCTTCCGAGGAACCAAAAGGCCCCCATGAGGCCCCCAGGAATCCCTGAGAGACCCCCAAGAGGCTCCCAAGAGGGCCCCAAGAGGCACTCAAACTGTCCCCCAGAGGCCCCCGAGAGCGCTTCGAAGAGACCCCAAGAAGCATCCATGATGACTCTGGCCCACGTCAGCGTCGTCGTTGTCGCCGCCGCTCTTGTCATCTTTCTCCTTCAGCGTCGGCGGCACCGGCCGCAAGGACTTCGCAATAAGGGAGCGGGAACGACGGTGACCCAACGATCGAATCAACAACATCACCACTGCCGACAACCGTAACAAGAAGCCCAACATTACCTCTTCGTTACGGCTACAACGGCCGGTGGTCGTCATTCTTTCTGAAGCACCGTACCGTAGTAGTTTTCAACGTGGACCACGCAGGGGGCGGCGATGGACTTCCCAGCGTGCACTTCCCAGTGTGCACCACAAGCGTCTGAAAGGGTCTCCCCAATGTACACCATAAGTGTGCTCCCTCCTGCCGGGGTCCCCAGTGTGCACCACGCGCCGTCACCAGTGCGTGCACCGCCCCCTCCCCCAGTGTGCCCCATCCCCTGTGTGCACCATCCCCTGTGCACCATCCTCTGCGCGCAGCTCTCGTCGAAGAGAAGATTTGGTGATCGAGGATGCTGAGCCGATTCGGGCGCCACCCGCCACGTTCACCGCGAAGGGGGTCCCCTGTAACGGTCCCCGGGGTGGCCCAGGCAGAAAGCACAAACGAGAGAGAGAGCAGGATAGAAACCCTGCAGCGGGGGCACGGGAACAAATAGCTGGAAACGGGAGGGGGCAGTGAGGAGAGAGTAACGAGAGGGAGAAACGCGAGGCGAGGGGCAGGGCGGAGAGGCAAAGGCGGAAATTGAGAGGGGAGGAAAGGCAGAGGGGGAGGAGAGGGGACCGACAGGGACGGGATAGAAGGAAAGACCACGACAGGGCAGCGAGGGAAGGCAAGGGAGGGAAAAGAGGGGAACGGGGGGGAGGGGAAGGGCAGCGACAAGTTTTCGGCCCCAGGGACCCCTCCCGAGCAGGACTGAGGCACCCTCTCGACCGAAGCGCGTCCGCGCGGGCCTGGTCCTTGCCCAGAGGTCCCGCCTGCGGCCGCCCAGAGCGCCGATGCGGGTTCGCGGCCCCGCCCCGCCCCGAACGTCCGCGAGCAAGCCCGCAGGCCGGCAGGGGGGAGAAAGCAGAAGAGAGGCGGAGGAGAGGAGAGGAAGAGGAGGAAACGGGGGGCAAAGAAGATTCGGCAGGGGTGTCGAGAAGGACGAAGAACGAGGTAAGGAGGGAAACGGTAGGGGATGATGAATGATGATGATGATGGTTTTGTGCCCCCAGTGTGCACGCACGTGCGAATAGCCTCTGCTCGGCCAAGGCCTACGCCTACAGCACAGCGCGAGGGCCGCGCAGACGACATCGAACGCACGCGGTCAGCACGACGGAACACGGCGGGGCTGTCGAGGGCAGCCACCGCCGCGAAGCAAGAGGAAGGGCAACCATGCACAGGCCCGCATCTGCACATGAAACCGCAAAACAACAAAACAAATCCGACTGAAACATGCCGATGGCCACCTGCCGACATCTCTGCCGCTCGCCAACTCCCGAAAACCTCCTGGGGGGGAGCAGACCGCGAAGTGCTTCAGGACATGGTCCATGAAACTACGGCTGCGAGCGATGTGCTGCCCGACAGCTGATGCTCAAACATCTGCCCCAGGGCCCAGACTGCTCCAAGGATGGCCTGGAGAGCACCCCTCCTGGAGGCACCAAAATCGACCGGGAAACTGGGAGGCGGGGGGAGGGGGCACCTTGCGGGGAGAGGCGGATTGAGACAGTGGGTTTGCACGGCCTGGGCAGGTTCTGCTGCGGCGACGAACAGGCGTGACTCCTTCCGATCACATGGGCTCCCAGTGCCTCTATCGGCTCTATCTCTGAACCTTGGGCAAGGATCATCTCTGGCAAACCTCCGATCCTACTTCCCTTGCCAATCCGCCTCCGCGCCCACTCCCCTGCTCATCCAGCTGCCCCTTCTCATCCACCTGCTTGAGCCCATTATCCTCCTCTCCACACCTGAGATGCTGCATTTTCAGATTTGAACAATAAGAACAGCAAACCAAAACTGAACCGAACCGAACACGGCGTGAACGATAATCCCAGAATGGGAAAACTAACCCCAGAACAACAAACAAAACGCCGAGCTTGAACACGGGGGAGAAAAAGGCCCCCAGCGTTATTAACATGGTCGAAGTTTCCTCCTTGGCGCGCTCCGCGCGCCAAAGGCGGCGCCTGAGGCGCCGCCGGGGCTTCCGCCACCGATCCGAGAAATCCGCGCGGACCTCCGAAAGTTTATGCTCATGCCGCTTTTTGTTTCTCGGGTACACTCCCCTGCTCATCCAGCTGCCTCTTTCCATCCACCAGATTGAGCCCATTCTGCTCCTCTCCGCCCCTGTCCTCCTTCTCCCTTCCTCCTTCTCCTCCGACGGCAACCCGCTGGCCACCGCTGGCGACGCCGCCCACCGAAGCCCTGGAGTCGCGCTGCTTTCTCGGCGCCAAGTCGCAGGACCCCGCCGCGGGTGAGACGTCAGCCTGGCACCAAACCAACACTTACTCGTCCTGCTTTCTCGGTTGGTTTGCTCGTCTCGGCTTGGCTGGTGCCTCCTCCTCATCACCATCAGCAACAACAGCATCCTCCTCCACCTCTTCCTCCTCGTCCTCCCATCATCATCATCACCATCACCACCCTCACCATCATTGGACCATCATAATCGTCATCATCATCAACATCAACATAAACATCATCATCATCACCACCACCATCATCATCATCAACATCATCATTCATACCAGCATCACCGTCACCATCACCATCATCATCCTGATCCTGAATATCCTCATCGTCCTCGCAATCTTCGTCCTCATCCTTATCCTCCTCCTCATCACCACCATCATCATCAACGCTATCGTCATCGGAATCGTCGTCATCATCACCGCGATCATCATCATAACCATTACCGTCGTCATCACCATCAAACATCATCCGCACCATCTTCAACACCAACTTCATCATCACCATCATCACCATCATCCTCACCATCCCCGTCATCGTCCCCATCCTCATCCTCATCCTCATCCTCATCCTCTCCCTCATGTTCCTCGTCCTCTCATTCCTTCTTTCTCATCCCCTCCAACCCCCTTCCCGTCCACGTTCGCCTCCCCATCACCCCCTGCTCCCATTCACCAGCACGGCCGCGCCCCCTTTATATCGTCCCCCTCGTCGCCTTCCTCCCTTTCTCCCTCCCCCCTCCCCCTCCCGCACCCCCATTGCCTCCCAATCCTCTCTAATTCTCCCTGATTTCCTGCCCTCGATACCGCCGCTCCGTTCGTCCCTTCAGCTTCTTCCTTCATTTTCCGTCTTCCCTTCGTGCTCCTCATCTCCCCACTCATCCTTCCCGTTCTGATCCATTCCAGCCGCGGATCGGACTCAGCCAACCGCGCTCGTCCTCTTCGTTCCCCCTCTTCTACCAACGATTACCTCAAAATCAAGCCCCCTCTGCCTCCTCCTTATGTGGGGAACAACGCCTAATGCCGCTGAAGAGGTACCGAAGCTGCAGCCGGCGGCGAAACGCAGCTACACATAAACACCCCCCCCTTCCTCCTCATCCTCCATCTCCTCCTTCCCTCCGTAACCGTCTTGGTTCAAAATATCTGTCTTGGGGCCTATCCAGTCCCACGGCAATGCACGGAAGCTGCTAGTCCGCAGCAAGCGACCCTGGACACCACATGTTGCCCACTTTTTTTTGCTTGGTGGTCACCGCCCCGTGGACAGCACCAGCCATTGGGAACGGAGGGCGCAAACATCTGGGCGCGGCGATGTGCCCCCATGGCGGCGGAATGTTCTTAAGATTTCCCACGCGCCCCAAAATATAATCAAGCATGGCCAGCGCGACGAAAGCGCGATTCAAGTGCCCCACGCACCCGCACTTCTCGTCCTGCAAACCATTTGCAGCCTCCGCTGCCGCACAGGAGTTGCAGGTGCAGTCGCGCCGCGCCTGCGAGCGGCGAAACGAAAGGACGGCCCTCGCGTCATGCAGGCCAGCGCCTGCTTCGCAGGCCGCGCGGGGGGGTGGGGGGGGGCCTGGCCCTTCCCCTTTTGGCGCGGTCCTGGCTCGGCTCTTCCTTTGCGGTACCTCCCCAATGGAACAACGTACTCCACGTGCAACATGTGTACGCACACGTACGTGCACAACCATATGAGAGAAATGCGTATACACGTCGGTGCAAATGTTTCATGCACCTGAGACTATCCCCCCCCCCGCCCACCCACCCCACGCCGCCATGCCCACACCAAGACCCCCCACACCAAACCCTCCTCAACGCACAGACACACACACACACCCACACAACACACACACACACACGCACACACGCACACATACACAGACACACGCACGCACACACGGACACAGACACAGACACAAGCACAGACACATCAACAAACAAACGCCCACACGCACGCTCACGCACGCTCACGCACGCTCACGCACGCGCGCACGCACGCCACGCCACGCCACGCCACGCCACGCCACGCCACCCAACCCCATACCACACCCACTCTCACACCCACACCCACACGCACGCTCACGCATGTACCCACACCCACAGCCACACCCACTCCCACACCCACAAACTTGTTTCGCGTCGGCGGCTAGGCAGAATCACTGCGCTGGCGAATGAGGCGTCGGTGGGGCGCACGGAACGCGAATGAGGCCACCATGCAGGGGAAATGCCCACACACACCAACACCCCCCCCCCCTTCACCCCCCCCCTCCCCCCCTTCCCCCCCCCATCCCCCCCTCCCCCCCCCCGCCACCACAGCCCAGCTCCAATGCCACCACCACCACCCCGCCCACCACGCCCACCCACCCCCCATCCCACCCACCCCCCATCCCACATGCACCAGAGACTATCGCCCCCAACCCACCCCACGCCGCCACGCCCAAACACCCCCCCCACACCGAACGCCCCACGCACACGCACCCACCCACCAACCCCCCAAACACACATTCACACACACACACAACATGCACAACGCACACGCGCATTACACACAACACACAACACACACACACAAAACACACACACATCCCAAACAACACACACACACATCACACACAAACCAAACGCAGCACACACACAACACACAACACGCACCACACAACACACACAACACACACACACAACACAACACACAACACACAACACACACACCATACACACCATACACCACACAACACACACACAACACACAACGCACACACCACACACCACACAACACACAAACACGACACAACACACAACACACACACACACAAAACACACATCACACACACACAACCCACACAGAACACACAACACACACCACACACCACACACCACATGCCATACACACAACACACACAACACACAACACGCACGACATACAAACGGGCACACCACACACAGCACACACGCACAACACACATACACACAACGCACACGTAACACACACACACACACGCACAACACACACAACACACAGCGAACAACACACACACACACACATCACACACGCGACGCACACACAAACACACAACACGACACACACACACACACAACACCCACAGACCGCACAACACACACACACCACACACCATACATACAACACACAACACACAACACACAACGCACACACACAACCCACGGACATCACCCACACAACACACAGCACACAACGCACAACACACGCACCGCACGCAACACATCACACACAACGCACACAACACACACACCACACCACACACAGCACACACAACACACCCACACAACACACCCACACACCACACACATCACACACAACACACACACACAGCACACCACACACATACAACACACACGCGACACACAACGCACACAACACAAACGACATAACCATCACACACACACAACACACAACACACACGACACACGACACACAACACACATAAATCACACACACCACACACAGCACACAGCACACACCACACACACACACACGCATACGCACTCGCACACACACACACACACACACTCTCACGCACACATACACACCACCAGCGCCAACCTGACCACTCACCCACCCGCCCACCCACCCACGCACCCATGCACTCTTATCCACCCGACCCAATCCTTACATCGTCTGGGTAAACACCCCCACGTAGCCGGCCGATGGCAAGCCCGCCGCCCCAACTTTCAAAATACAGCGCAAACTCAACTTGTTCTCGCCAACATGTCGTCGAGTTGCGAAAAGTGTAACAAGATTGAGACGGAATGAGCATCGCTTGGGAAAGCGGGAACGTGTGGCCGGACCCTACCCATCAAAAACAATACGAGGTCAACGTTTGTCTCGTCAACATGGATTTTCTTGTCGTCGACGCTGCGAAAAATGAAGCAATAATGGGACGCGGCGCACATCGCGCGCTGACGCCTGGCCAACCCTACGCGGGACCCCCCGTCCTACCTGCCAAAAAACACCGCAACGTCGACGTTTTGCTTGCCAACATGTACTTTTTCCTCGTCGGCGCTGCGAATCGCGTCGCGGGAATGGGACGCGGCGCGCATCGCGCGGGGACGCCTGCTCGTCAGCATGGACTGTCTTGTCGTCGACGCTGCGGCCCGTCGGGTTGAGGAGCTGGGCGGGCGGCAAGTCAAAATGCTTCAAACAAACACGGTTCAAGCAAGTGCATCAGGACACCCCCAAGAGGCCAACAAAAAGGCGTTCAGGAAGTCCTGGGAAGGCTACACAAATATTGATGTTTAGTTGTTGTTTGAAAGATTGTGACGATAACACTTATTTGTTTGACTATGTTCCAACCCGGAAGATATACCCAAGAGGCCCTCAAGCGTATACCAGAAAACTCCCAGGACGCCCCGCGAACTCCCAAGATGCATTTTCCTCTTCCTCCTCAGTTTCTCCCTCCCTCCCTCTCCCCCTCCCCTCCTCCTCTTACTCCTCCTCCTCCCCTTCCTCCATGCGCGGCAGGATCGAAACGATTGGCCGTGCAACACGCGTGGTTGGAATGAGACGCGGCGCGCTTCGCGCGCTGGATCTGTTGTCGCCGATGATGCAACATGAGAGGCCGGAACGGGGCGCGGCGTACATCGCGCGCGGTGTTGTTTCTCGTCGACGTTGCCCAACACGCGGCACGAATAGGACGCAGCTCATATCGCGCGCTGAACGTATAGCGGCCCACGATATAAGATGAGCGACAGGCGTCGGAGGCGACGAACGTGCTTCTTATGTTGCGGGAGGGCGGGTGGGAGTGGACAGAGCCTTCTGGCTCGTTCGAGCTGGCTACCTTGACCCCGCCCCACCCCACCCATTATTTGAGGCTGTAAGGCGCCACGTTAGTTCCCTGAAACATAAATTTGTAATCCCACCAGCCCTCCAGGCGTAGGTGGTTCCGGGGGGGTCCTCTTCCAACCTCCTTTTTCCCCTTCGGGGAAGGGTTTACCCCTCCCCCTAACCCCCTCCCCTGGACCTGGACGAAGGGTTTCGCTGGTAGTTGGAACGTCCAACACGGCCTCGGCGAGGAAGCCGCAATCATAGGTTTTACTCGGTTTTTGGCCCCATTTTGGCCCTCTTGGGGGGGCCGGGCTAATTAACCCCACCCTCTTCTTTGATCGATCTCCTCCAAGATGGCCCCAAAGGGCGCCCAGGAGGCCCCAAGAGGCTTCCAAGAGGCCTCCAAAGAGGCCCCAAGAGGCCGCCATGAGGCCCCAAGAAGCCCCCAAAAGGCTCCCAGGATGGTCCCAGGAGGCCTCCAAAAGGTTCCAAGAGGCCGCCATGAAGCTCCAAAAGACCCCCAAGAGGCCCCTAAACGCCTCCAACAGGCCCCCAAGAGCCCCCCAAGAGGATCCCAAGCGGCCTCAAGAGGCCCCCCGGAAGCACCCAAGACGCCCAAGAGCCCCCATTGACCGCCACGAGACCCCCAAGACGCCCGAAGAGGCTTCCAAAAGGCTTCCAAGAGGCATCCGAGCGGCATTCAACCATCCACCCTGCGTCATCATTCTCCTCATCCTTTTTTTGCTCGGTTCCTCGCCACCCCCTCATCTATCCATCTGGCCTCCTCTTCCGCCTCATCCTTTGCACGGATCGGTTGTCCCTCTCGTTGCTCCCCCACTTCCCTGATCTCTTGAACTTGTCTGGACATCGTTTCTGGATGGGCTGGTGGGGATACTTTGTTTTGATTCGCGGCCCGCAAGGAAAAATCCAGAGGGCGGTAGGAACGAGGCCGGGACACAGCGCGCGGGAAAGCAGATAATCAACGGCGCAGCACAAGTATGTGCCAGCAGCAAAGAATAAACAACGCTGAACATGTGCCAGCGAGGGATGCAATTAGGAAAAGCGGCCGCTGAGCGTGCGCCAGCGAGGGTAGGGGGGGCAAAAAAGGCCGGACCCGGTGGTGGGGCCGGACTGACGAACTGGTGGGGAAGCGCGAAGCGTCAAAAATGGGTTGTTTATCACACGGGTTCGGGGGTGACGCGCGTCACCCCTTGCATTTGTGAAATTACATTACCTCGCGCTTGCCTTTTGCGCTCCCAATATACAACTGTTGTTGTCACGCGGTTTCGGGCGTGCCACGTATCAACCGTTATGTTGTAAGTTGTATGTATCCATGTTGGTTTGATGGCTCCTAAACTTACACATGGTGTGTCTCGCGAGAGTTTTTTGCGGTGACACTTCTCACCAGCTATTGTCTGAGGTCGCGCGGCATCACATCCCCCGGGGCCTACACGAAGGCGTTGGGGGGGTTCCATGTGCCCTGGAAGTGGTACGGAGTCGGGGGGCTTTCCCCGCGGTAGCTGAGAGACACCGCGCCCGCGCTAGAGCCTGAGCTGGCGGGCGCTCACCTTCCTGTCCCTCCTCTCTTCGTTCGCTTGCTCTGTGCTGTGCTGGGGCGGTTCACGCAGCCGCCAGAGTGGAGGAGTCGGTCCCGCGGACTGTTAATGAATCCTCCTCATCCTGCTCCTCCTCCTCCTCCTGCTCCTCCTTGTTGTTCCTCATCCCTCCTCTTCCCCCTTCTTTCCTCGTCGTCTCCCCTTTCTCCATCGTGTTCACTCCCACCACTGCTCACCGGTCCCCACCCCCAATTCAAATCCTCTCGCACTGTGGTAAATTGAAACATCGATGGCCCCCCCAAGGCAACGAAGTCCAACTATGAGGCATCATGAGGATGAGGAGAAAAACAGACGACGTCTGAAATGGCGTTCCCCTCCCGTACCCCCAACCCCATGCTTTCTAAAGCAACGTATCGCGGCATGACACATCTCATTTCCGCACGGCACAGCACAGCACAATCCTTGGCACGGCACATCACGACCGACACCTTCAGCATTGCAGCGGCCTGTCGCCGAATCAAGAGCCTTGAAAACGTAGCCATGCCTCGCGGTTCCAAACTCCTCTCCGGGTTCGTGGGTCGATCATGTTTGCGTGGACCCATGGAGGCTTCGACCTCTTCCCCAGGACCAACTTTTCACCCCAGTCGTTTTTCGACGGTCCCAAGCTGGGGAAAGGCCCAAGCTGGGAATGCCGGCGCGGGCGCGGCCGCGTCGAGCGGGCCCAGGACGTCGCCGCGCGCGCGGCGCCCCCATGCGGCAACTGGCAATGGTCTCGCCGACAGGGCGCCTACACTTACGCTCATTCGCCGTGAATGCAAAACGCTGACATCTAAAATCCATAGTTGTGGGGGCTGGGGTCGGTTTCCCACTGTTCAAAGTTGCTCGACGGTCCCAAGCTGGGGAAAGGCCCAAAAAGGCCGAACAGGACAAACACAGCTCCCGTCATGACTTGTTCCTTCACGTTTCGAGGGGGTGGGAGCACATGCGGCCACCTCCGATGTCCGATGCTGCGAACAGATGCACCGCTGGGAATCGCGATCACAACCGTAAGCTCCATCTCTCTTCCGCATGTTCCGAGCCGGGTCGATACGTAATGGGCCCGGGGGCCCGAGAACCTGGCGAGATGGCCCGGCGTGATTCAATTGCAACGCTGGGACCTCAGGGCTTCCCCTCGCAGCTGGACATATGCGGCCAACCCGAAAACACGGTTCCTGTACCTGCCCGCGCCGTTGGGCGCGGCGGACGCGGACGAGGGCGAGGCGTAGCCGTCGCCGTGCAGCAGGTCGCTCCTCATGACAGGCAAGGCGGTTCTGGAGGCTGGTGGTAGCGCGGCGGGGGGGGAAGCAGGAGGGCGAGGGCGAGGATGAGGATGATGATGAGGTTGACGGTGATGGGGTGATGATGGCGATAACGATGACGACGAGGAGGAGGAGCAGGGGGGGGAAAAAGAAAATGAGGAGGAAGAGACCAGTGCAAACCAAAGACTCATCAACGATGTCGGCGCTCGCGACCTCCTCAGGAGGATCCTACGAACAAATATGACGACGACACTCACTACATCATCCTGCAACGCGAAGAAACGCGAGATCGACAGCAGAGGAAACAGCGTGGCGCACGTGACTGAAACCATGGGGCTAGCACTGTGATTACACCGCGATGCCTCCACCGTAATTTCTGCGACGCGACCTGGCCGCCGCCCACCTAGGAAGGAGGACGCGAATGTGGCCCCAGCGAGGTGAACCGCCGGCTCATGAGGGGTCCACTAGGCCCCGCGACAATGGCATCCAAGAGGGCCCTCTGGAGGCCACTCTCGGGGGGGCCGCCCGAAGCCCCCAAAACAAAGCTCCCCAAACAACGCGGATTTGGAAAGCTCCACGAAAGCCCCTGCAGGGCCGCAAAGGGGGCTCCAAGACTGGTTCCATTGAGCCCCTGATCCGAGTCCGCCTGGCGGCGTTGGAAGCGATCACTGCCCGTGCCCTGGTCCTTCCTCCCTCGTCTCTGCCCTCAACTCCCCTGCCCCCGTCCTCCCTCCCTCCGCCCCCATCGTGTTTCTTGCCCCGACACCCCCTCCCTGGCCTCTCCTGCCCCCTAAACGGGTCCGGATCCCCCAAACGGCACGTCCCAAGCAAGACGCGCTGGCGATCAGCAGCGAAGACGGGAACGCAACGAAATCCGCGCGCACTGACACAGGCAGACGATCGCCCAGCAGGCGCCAAGGGGAAACAAAAACAACGCCGCGCCCGCCCGCGGCGGGTCCCGGAGAAGGCGGCCAATGAAGGGCGGGCAACGACGCTGCGCATTTAATCTGCATCTGAAAAGATCGTTCGGATGTTCGTCGCCGCCGAACGATGTCCGAATACACCCTCCTTCCACACACCTGTTTCTCATAATCCCTACACACACTCACTTCCACTGAAGACAATGCCCCGTTAGGACGCAACCGTGTGGAACTCTCAAGGCGTGCCAAAACACCATTCTCAAAATTGCGACGCGCACGGAATGCTGCTTTCACTGCAAGATCGAATTTGACGAAGGCACACGGAAAAACAAGTGGCCAACCCAATGCTGCCTCCCGCCCCCACCCACACCCCTGCACCGCCTGGGGAGGAAGACTTCGGTGCGAAAGTTCTGACGCGAAGAACCCCCCTGTAGGTTTCGACGCCCTTTAACGCGCATCGTGCAAAAGTCATCCCCTCGCTAGGTGGCCAGTCGCGCGCGAGACGGGGGAAGGGCATCAGCAACGCGCGCGGGAGGAGCAGGGCGAGCAGGAAAGCGGAGCGCGGAGGGGTACCAGGAGGATGGGGGGGGTGAGGGGCGGGGGGGGGAGGGGGGAGGGCAAGCCAGGTGCGCTCGCGTCATATCTGTCGTCCTACCCCTCCCTCCAATACCTTACCATGGCGTGCAGATCTCCTTTCTATTCGCGGAATCGGATGTCGCAACATGGCATAGCATTACATGGCATAGCATGGTGTTGAGCATCAACGCGTAGCATGACATAGCATGACGTGGCGACGCCCTAAAATTAATTGGGGCTTCTGCGGCCCAAAAACCAACGAATCGACACCGAATGTGGAATCACTTCCGATGGTTTTATCGGGAGGTCATTTTCTAGATTTTGGGGCCGATTTGGAAGGACCGAAAACCATGCATTGGCATGGCACTGGAAATAATGACGCCAACGCTGCAGTGGGAGCACCATTCATTCGGGACGATCGGAAACGTGGAAATAAGGCCAACGCTGCAGCGGGAGCACGATTCGGAGCGAACGGTAGCCCGAAAATGAGGCCAGCGCTTCAGCGAAAGCAGCATTTTTAACAAAACAACCCACACGCAGAAACGCGGAAATGAGGAGGCGTAGCCGGACATAGCATGGCGTGGCGACGCCCCAAACCGGGGGGGCTTCTGCCGACAAACAAAAATCAACGAATCGACTCCGAATGCGTAATCACTTCCGATGTTGTTTTCTTCCAGGAGGCATTTTCTAGATTTTGGGGCATGTTTGGAAGGACCGAAACCATGCCGTGGCATGGCGCTGGAAATAATGACGCCAACGCTGCAGCGGGAGAGCGATCCGGAACGAGCGAAAGCGCGGAAATGAGGCCAGCGCTGCAGCAGGATCACGATTCGGAATGAGCGGCAGCCCGGAAGTGAGGCCAGCGCTTCAGCGAGAGCAGCATTTTCAAACAAAAACCTCAGCGAAAACCCAACTCACGGGAATCTTGCGCAACAAAAACAGCACGCGACCAATCCCCGGACGCCACCAGGGGAGAGAGGAGAGTAGTGTTCAAATTGTGTGATTATGGAAGAAGACAAGGAGGAGAAGGAGGATAAAGAACAACAGCAACGGCAAAGGAAGCAGGATGAGCAGGAGAAGGAGGGGGAGGACGAAAGGAGTGGGGAGTGGCAGGATGGCGACCAGGAAGAACACGTGAGGGAGCAGGGGAAGGGGGAGGATGAGGAGGACAGGGGGCAGAAAGCCCAGAAGGAGGAATCAGAGGAGGATGAGGACGGGGAGGACAAGGAGGATGAGAAAAAGGCAGTGGAAAAGCATGAGTGCAGACGAGGCGGAAGAGGAGGGGGCGACGTAAATCGGAGGAACAGGGTGATGGGCACGATGAGGAGGAGGAGGAGGAGGAGGAGGAGGAGGAGGAGGAGGAGTAGGAGGAGGAGAAGGAGGAGGAGGAGGACGAGGAGGAGGGAGGGGGAGAGGGAGGAGGAGGAGGAGGAAGAGGAGGAGGCGGAGGAGCGGGAGGAGGACGAGGAGGACGACAGGGCGAAAGAAAAAACAAAAACAGAGCGGCAGGGGCGGGTGAAGGGGGGGGGCCGGGGGGGATCGAGGGGGGAACGGCGGGGGGATCGGGGGGGGGGGGAACGGGAGGGTCGGGGGGGAAGTGGCGGCCGACTTGAATGGTCACCGCAAGTCTCGCGACAGCAACGGCGCGGCCGGGCTTCGGCCGCCTTTGGCGCAGCAGCGCTTGGACGAAGAATCCACGCACTGCACACCTAGACTCCGAGGACGTCGCGGAGGTCACGGGCGCCGACGTTAGATGCTTCCTGCTTCGCGACGGCTCCGACGCGCACGGCGCTGCGCGCGCTTCAAGAGCCGACCGCGCGATGTGCGTCACATGACAAAGGGCAGAATCGAAAATCTACAAGGAGTACTTCGCTCGCGATTCACACCAGATGTGGCGCTATCGTGCGACGTATTGCGCGTGCAAGGCGATGTGGCTGACTCTGCTGTCATCCGCTGGGTCCATTGTGACCCGCGAAACGGCATGCGTTTTTTTCATCGATGCGGCTGCTGCGAAGATTATTTGAGGCTCTCGAACTCAATTTGGGCGACCTCCGCGAGCTTTTGAACGCGCCTAGACCTTCCCCGCGCGGGGGGAAATCAAGGGCAACACGCTGAATGACGCGTTCGGGGATCGTGGATGACCATCCGAAGACAACGCGAGCGCAGCGCAAAGATATGCCAAACACCTCTTTGCTTTATGCAGATGTGCGCCCCGGCCCTTCGCCGAAGCTCCCCTGGATGATGCGCCTGGCACGAAATTGGCAGGCATCGTCGATCAAGGCTGCTTGTGCCGATTGATGCCATCGCTGCGAAGAAGTTGGCGCGCCTCGGAGTGCGAGACGGCGCCCGTCGGCTCCGAGAGGCCCACGAGCTCTCGACGGGCTGCGCGACTCTGGGGCACGGCGCAGACGCCACCCCCCGATGGCCCTGGCCGTCTTCCTGGAAGTCTGTCTGGGGCGCGGCCGCCCTGGCCGGCCCCTCTGGGCCGCGGCCCCAGCCAACCGCGCGCTCCGCGCCAAATCCGCTGGGGGCGAGGGGCCCAGATGATTGTGGTCCGGCCCCGCGAGAAAAGCGGCCCGCCAGTCGCGGGCCGCGGGGAGATCAAAATGCGGGGGGCCGCTCGCGCCGAATCATTGCGATTCATCTTCCTACATCTCGGTGCAGAGCCTCTCGATGCCGACGGGTCGCCCCCCGGCCAATCCCCCGTTGCGGGCGCGCGTTCTGCGCGGGCGTCCTCGGCCCTTGCGCGACGCGCCTGATGTCGCCGCCCTCGTCGTTAGCGTCGGGCCCGATTTCGCAGCGGCAGCGGCGTCGGGCGCGCCGTCGCGCGCGCGTCGTCGCCCAAGCGGTGCTCGCGGTTGTGCGCCGCGCGCCTGGCGTCGAGGGCCTCGGGGGCCAGGGCGCCCCGCCCCCGCGCCCCCTCGCCAGCGCCCCCGCCCGCCCACCCTCGCTGGCGCGTCTAGTTGGGCGCCGCCAGTGCCCGTCATCCAAGAGCTGCACCGCGCGCTCCGCGACGCCCCGCTCCATCCTCGGAGTCAGGCACCACGGCTTCGCGGATCGCAACTGCGCGGCCCCCGCCCGCGTCGGCGGCGACCGCCGCGCGAGCGGCGACCGCGCGCGCGGCAAGCATGCGCGCAGAGGCCAGCACGGGGGCCGCCCGCAAGCGGTCGCGGTGCCCCAGAAGCCCGGCGCGGCCCAGTCCGCAGGGGCCCGCCGAAAGAGCGCAGTGCGGGCCCGGGCCGGGCGCCTGGCCCGGGCCGGGCGCCTGCAGGCGACAAAACCATCATCACTGCCACAGGCGCGCGTTCAGAGTGTCGGTGGTTGCCCTGCCCCGCCCTCGAAGCGCAGCGCGCTGAGACCCATGTCTCGCCTTGTGCCGGTGGGAAGCGCGACGCGCTGACAACGAGCGAAATTGCGCTACGCGGTGCATGCGGCGCGCGCGCTCGCTTCGGCGCGCCCGCAACGGCCGCGAGAGGGGGCCTCGCGCACCCCCCCCCGGCGGCCCAACTCCCCCTCGTCACCGCGGCGGGTTTGGGACAGCGCCCGCCCGAATGCGACGCGGGGTGTGGGCGGCCAAAATGAAGGCCAACCAACGCAGAGAGACTGAGCAAACAAACTCCCCATTGTGGGAAGTTAATCCACCACTCTCTGCATATCCCTCATGCAATAGCATGACTCTACCGCAAGTCGCACAAGGAACTAACTTCACTTCCGTATGTGTAATTCAATAAATTCCATCGGATGTTATGCCACCGTCCGAAATCCCCAATGTTACCTAAAGATGTAGTGATATGGGGTGATCTCAAATAGTATGGCATCCAAAACTTGCCCTGGGCATTTCGGAAGATGAGGGGGCACCGTTTCACGTTTTACCCCCCCCCCCTCGCCAAGGGGGGTTCGCGGGGGGGCGTTCCGGGGGGCCCCCCGCCGGAAGGGGGCGGTCCCGGGGGGGATAGCTGGGGGCGGCCCCCAGGGGTGGGTCCATGGGGTCCCGAGGACAACATGGCACAAAAGGGCTCCCATGAGGACTCGCGAGCGTCATCGTCGTCACCGTCGTCGTCGTCGTCCTCCTCCTCCTCCTCCTTGGAGCTCGGCGGCGTCGGCTGCAAGGCCTTCGCAATACAATTCCTCGGACTTCGCCGCCGTGGATGAACATGACAGCTGCATCCTTACCAAACTGAACCATGTCAGAACACCATTCCTGGGCCTTCAACGACGCGAATCAACGGACCGGCTGCGTCATGGCAAACCCAAGTCGTGCCAGAACACCATTCCCGGGACTTCAACCATACGATCCCTTGAAACCGTTGCAAACTTTAAAACGAATGCGCGCTGCGTTGAAGCGAAACGCACATGTTGAACACGAGCGCCCCTCCATCCGTCAAGCTGTTGCACACTTTTAAGACGATTGTTCGCGGCGTTACCGCGGGAACCAAACATTCAAAAAATAACCACCCTCCATCCTTGAAGCTGATGCAACCTCTTGAAGACGAACGCGCGCGAAACTAATGCGGTAACAACATGTTCAAAACGACCCACCCACTAACCGTGAAACTGCCGCAATGAAACAATGCGCACGGAGCTACAACGATCACCACATGTTGAAAACGACCCGCCCTCCGTCCATGAAGTTCTTAACTTCGAGTTCCAAGATCATAAACGGTGAGGAACCCTCAGACGACACGCCCGGCCCGCCCTACCAGCAAGTGGGTGGGCGACGACAGGGAAGTATGATTTATAAGGGAAAAAGACTGGCGAGGAGGAGGAGGAGGAGGAGGAGGGGGAGGAGGAAAGGGAGAGGGAGGAATAGGAGATGGAAGCGGCGAGGGAGGAGGAGGAGGAGGAGCAGGAGGAGGAGAGGCAGGGGGGGAAGCGGCGGAGCGGAGGGAAGCTTAGGATCGGCGGAGCGCCGACGGGGGAAGGCAGACGGGGCAGGCCCTCCCAGCAGGCCGCAAAATTCTCAGGCGCCCGCCAGCCTCGTGACAAATCCTCTGCGGCTTCGGAGGAGGCTTAGGAGACTCCTCCGACGGCCGAGAGCCTGCTGAGCCCACGGAGGGGGCACGCCTCCTCCTGCCCTCCCACCTGGGCGCGCCTGCCGCCGCCGCTGCAGTAGGGCGGCAAGATGTGTGGAGAGGGCGAGCGAGGACTCGTCTTCTTGGCGGGGAGAGGCAGGGGAAGCAGGGGGGAGAAGTTCAGGGTGGCAGGACTGGGGGGGCCTTCGAACGCGACCCGTCCCATGCTCCATCCACGCAAGCTCTCCACTTTGCGCCAGGACGCCAGGGGCGCGTTGGATCCCGATGCCAGGCGTGAAGTGCAGAGTGGGGCATGACCCAGATCAATGCTGCTGCTGGCAGATCCGTCACGTTGCCGCATGCAGTCAGGTTCCCTCGAGTGCTCTCAGGTCCCTTCGGGTAGGGTGGACTCTGATCATGCCCTCGGATCCCTTCGATTGGAGTGGTCTCAGGTCCCATCGAGCTCATTGCAATGAGTCTTCTACGAGCTCTTCGAAAAGGCGGGGGCCCCTTGTCACGGGCTCTCTTGGGCGCTCCCGGGGATCCCCGCGTGACTTCTCCAGAGGCATCGGGAGCGTGGTTTGAAATCCGCACTTCCAACGTTCGGGTCGGGCGAAAGGGGGGGATAGCAAAAGGGGGGGTTTGAGAATCAGCTCACGTAGCTGATTTTCCTGGCGCCTCCCAGCGCCGGAGGCGGCTATGTATCGAGGAATGGGCCCCTTGACGGGGCCGAAACCAGCTGCATGCAGCAAATTTCGTAACCCCCCCTTTCCAAATCCCCCCCTTTCGCCCGGCCCGAAACGTGGCCCGAGATGGCCCCAAGGCCCGCCCTGGAACCCTCTCGGGGGGCCTCTTCAACCGTCGTGGAGGCCCTGGGGGCTGGCCCACAGAGGCCCCCAGCCACTGCGAAACCTCAGGAGCTCGTGAACACTTTCTCGCAACTCGGTGATCCTCTGCCCCGGGTCCATCCAGACCCGGGTCAGCAGGAAGCCAACAAACTGCAATGCAAGAACAAACAAAAACTGCAACGCAGGTCTTCGCTAACCCGGGTCAGCCAATATGCGCGGCCGCCTCGCGGCTCGCTAACCCGGGTCAGCCAGAGGGGGTCTTCGCAGGATCCTGCAGGCTGGCTGACCCCCGTTTGCATGGACCCCCGTCTCGAGGCTCCCGAACGATCTGCAGAGCGCCTGTGCCGGCCCGGGAGGCACCCGAGATCGCTCTGGGACGGGGCACGTGCCGGGCGCGCGTGCCCGCTCGCAGGGGGGGGGCGGAGCCTCGCTCGTCCTCCTCGAACGCAGCTGACGAGCAGTCCGGCGTCTCGCGCCCAGGTGGCGACATCCGAGCTCTGCCTCCACCAAGCATCGATGCTCCTGGCTCGATGCTTCGCGGGGGCAGGGCTTGGATTTTGCCACGCGTTCGTCGAGCTCCGAGCCCTACCCCCGCCGCCCATCGAGTTGCCTGAATCGCTGATCGGCGAGGGTCGGGTTCGGATTTCGCCGCCGAACGCCGCACCTCGCGCCGATGGCGATCGGACGACCTGCCACCGAGCAACAACGACCGCAACTCTTTCAGACTGTCTCTGGCTGAGCGCTCCGGCACGGAACGTGTCGATTTCACTTCGAGTCGCATTATGTTATGTATTATTCATTTCACTTCGAGTCGCATTATATAACAAGAAAGCACAGACTGAGAAGAACAAAGGCTCGCGGAGCCTCCCTCCTTGTCCTCCTGCTCCCCCTGCCCCCCCCCCGCCCCCAAGTCGTCGGCGTGCCGTCCTCGCCCCCCGCCTCACCCTGTGTGCCCCCCCCCCGCCCCCGCGCACGAGGAGGGCGGCGAGCACGCGGGGCAGGGAGGCCGGAGCGGGGGGCGCTCATCGTCTTGACCTGGTACTTGAGGCCCTCCACCTGGCGGCCGCGCGAAGCGAAGACTCCTCGCCGCCCTCGACCACAGGTCGATCGAACTGCTTGGCATGGTCAAGCAAATCAGAGATCTCTCCTGTCCGCCCCTGGGGTCGAATCCATCGGTGCGTGATCTTATCTATCGGTGCGGCGCGCAGGCACAGGCACTGATCAATAAACCGAACGAGTCGTGAGGGGGCGGGATGAGGGCAGGGGGGCCGTGCTTGCCCGAGCGTCTGAAGCACGTGTTCGGGGGCAGCCTCACGCTGCCCGGTGTCTGTTTCAGCGCGCGCGTGCGTGCGCTCGCCCCGCGGGAGGTTGAGATCCAGCACGGCCGAGCATGGCCGTAAATGTGAATTGGCCATTGCATGGTTTACGCTGCTCGGCGTGATGAATCGGCCCGGTCCAGCGTAATTGTTCGCAGCGAAAGCGACGTCCCGACGGTCGATTGCGACCTCATGAGGCGTAGGCTGAAATGTTGCGCCGTTCGTCAAAGCAGTGGTGTCGGACGCGGCCCCTCTTAAAAAGCCATGCTGCCCCTCTGGGTCGTGCAAGGGCGCCCGTGGCTGCCATGGTGAGATCAGGTTGACCATTGCTGACATGAACCTTTTCTTGTTGCCACAGCGTGCCTCCCCTCCTTGACGACCGTTCCCCCCATCCCTTGGTCAGTGAAGCGCGGCACGGGCTTATTGGGAGAGTGAAATCTATCTGGGAAAGCGCTTCGCTGGAACAGTGCAAAAATGCACACGCCACATTCATGCGGACCTGAGGCTTTCAAGGTGCCAGTGCGAGCGGGTTGTCTACGGTACGGCGAGGTAGAGCTAAGGCGAAATGCATTGCACTGCGTAGGGGTCCTACAAATATGTCGGGGAAAGCCATGGGACACATTGCCCCACGAAGCGACTCTGAAAAGACTGGCGGACATTCGCAGCGCAGGCCCGAAAACCACACAGAAAAAATCTGCCGATGAGGCGCGAAACCTCTCCCGGCGGACTGGTGCATATATTTTGGCCGAGTGTTCCAAGGAGAGAGAACGGTGAAAACATAGCAATCGAAAGCGCATTGACCAGTATCCGCAGACTCCCATCAAACAAAAAACATAATCGACAAATATTCTCGCCTGGAGGAGGGGGGGTAAGACCACGGGCACGAATGCTGATACCCACTGGGGAAACAACAGGCGAGAGTCGGGAAAAGACAGGGGCGACGAAAGCGTAACAGAAACACTCTGCACCAACGTCGTGGCATCGGAACATCATGCCACACAGCACACCTGGGCTGCAACTCGACTACATCACCTGATAGATTGTTTGCTCCGGTGCCTGGTGCACTACCAAGACGGCCGGAGAGAACCTGTAAACCAACTGCGGTTCGTCGAATCGGCCTGCGCCGAACATCGGTCTGCGACCGCGGGGTCCGTGAGAGTCGGCAACCCTGTCTGCCGCACGGGTCGCGAACGTGCTCTGACACGTCCCGATGATTGACGCGGCGTGCTGAGTCTGATGCGGACGTCCGCGTGTGCAGACGCAGCGTCCCTTCACAACTGGCGACGGGTCGGCGGCGCGCCGAGGGCGGGAGGCAGTGTACGCGGGCCTTCTCATATGGCCACCGGACTTGTGCGGGGCCGTGCAAGTTTTTCTGAAGCCCCGCCGTCTTCTGAGAAGGCACGCCAACCCGGACTTCCCCCTGGACGCGCCGTCGACGCGGGACGCCCGCTGATCGCATATCTGACGAGGGCCGGCACAGGACCGATCCGATGCAGAGACAGGTGTCCTGCCAAATCGCCGCCCATGAGGCAGGAAGTACCTGACGCGCTGGACGCATTAAGCTCCCGAGAACGGCGAAAGTCTGGACTGGAACAGCCAAGGAGCCTCCCACCCATCCCTTCCCATATCGTTGAATAGCTGTTGCGTTCGCCGAGTGGGGTGTCCGAGAGGACGTTGGTCCCCAAATGGCACTCGCGGGGTTTGCTCTATCGTCTGCCGCGCAATCGGGAGGAGGGCTTGTGCATTCGCACACGAAAGGCACAACAAGATTTGCAGAACATGAAAAGGAAATCTGTTTCACCGCACCGCGGAACCACAACGTTCTTCCGCAAGGCGAGGCCTGGTCTGGCCGTGTGGGAGGAGAGGAGCAGGAAGGCAAACAATGTGGAGGCGGCAGAAGGATCGGCGGCAAGGGCACTTGGCCGACAGTCTCCATGTCTCCCTGACGCGAGAGCGACAGGCGAAGGACGACGCCGCCCTCGGTGCAAACACGAAGGGGCACCACTCAGGTCCACGCGAGACCCGCTAACCAGCCCGAAGGCCCGACAAACCACCACAAGCGGCAGCGGCGCCAGCACCGCGGAACAACAACAGCTGAACACGCAAGGGTGGGAACGCGTAGCAGCGCCAACGAAAAAGCGGCCACAGCACACAGCAGGGGAGCGAGAAGGAGGGGGCGGCACGAGGGAAAAGGACCCCCCACAAGATAATTATTCACTGCGTGGAGCTCCCCATATGTGCATCTACTCGCATGGACCTGTCCGCCGTGAATGTCTAGGCGCAAGAGCTTTCGAATATTAACGGGCTTCAGTTGTGACGGTCTGGACATCAATCTGACTGCGAATGAATTGGAGTGTGAATGAGCCTCAGTAGTACGAGCGCGTCTCTGTGCATGAGCCTGGGGCCTCCTGGGGCCTCCTGAAACCTACTGGGGCTTCCTGGGGTCTCCAGGAGCCTCTTGGGACCTCCTGGGACCTCCTAGGAAGGTTTCGTGCCCCAGGAGAGGCGCAATCTATAGCAACAGACGTACATAAAACATTGCGGATTAGAGCCACAGGAGAAGGGCAATCTATAGGAACACGCGTAAAACACCAAGGACTCGTGCCCCAGGAGAGGCCCAATACATAGGAACATGAGTAAAACATTTAGGATTGTGTACACAGGAGAAGGACCATCTATAGAAACATACGTAGAACATCAAAGAATCGTGCTCCAGGTGAGGCCCAATCGATAGGAGCATACGTAAAACACATGGGATTGGAGCCACTCCTGTTGCCTTCTGAGGCCTCCTGCTCCTGGGGCCTCTCGGGGCCTCCTGTTGCCTTCCGAGGCCTCCTGGCGCTTCCTGTTGCCTCCTGGGGCCTCCTGTGGTTTCCTGAGGCCTTCTGGAGCTTCCTGGGGCCTCCTGGAGCCTCTTGGGACATCCTGTGGCCTCTTGAGTCTTTCTGTGGCCTCCTGATGCCTCCTGGGACCTCATGTGGTCTCCTGGGGCCTCCTGGAGCCTGTTGGAGCCTCCTGTGGCATCCTGAGAAGAATCTGCGCCCACGAGCCTGGCCACCAAAACAAGCAAACCGATCGAGACATCCTCAAAATCTGGCCCACCTGGGGGGTGAAAATGAGCGCCTCGCTCGAGACATCCTCCAAATCTGCTCCGAAAGCGAAGGATGTTGGGCCCAGAAACAAGCAAACCGCCTGAGACATCCCCACAAAATGGCCGCGAACGAGCCCGTGCAAACACCCCTGGCGGCTCCCCTTAGGGGTGCTGAAATCGCCTCGAGACATCCTCCAAATCTGCTCCGAAAGCGAAGGATGTTGGGCCCAGAAACAAGCAAACCGCCTGAGACATCCCCACAAAATGGCCGCGAACGAGCCCGTGCAACCACCCCTGGCGGCTCCCCTTAGGGGTGCTGAAACCAGCGCCTCGCTCGAGACATCCTCCAAATCTGCTCCGAAAGCGAAGGATGTTGGGCCCAGAAACAAGCAAACCGCCTGAGACATCCCCACAAAATGGCCGCGAACGAGCCCGTGCAACCACCCCTGGCGGCTCCCCTTAGGGGTGCTGAAACCAGCGCCCCGCCTGAGACATCCTCCAAATCTGCTCCGAAAGCGAAGGATGTTGGGCCCAGAAACAAGCAAACCGCCTGAGACATCCCCACAAAATGGCCGCGAACGAGCCCGTGCAAACACCCCTGGCGGCTCCCCTTAGGGGTGCTGAAACCAGCACCCCGCCTGAGACATCCTCACAATCCGCTGGGTATGAGTAAGTCTGAGTATGATTGTGTATGTGTACGTCTGGGTATGAGTAAGTCTGAGTATGACTAATACTGTGTATGAGTAAGTCTGGGTATGAGTGAGTCTGTGTATGAGTACGTCTGGGTGTGAGTAAGTCTGTGTATGAGTAAGTCTGTGTATGAGTATGTCTGAGTGTGAGTAAGTCTGAGTATGAGTAGGTCTGAGTATGAGTAAGTCTGAGTATGAGTAAGTCCGTGTATGAGCAAGTCTGAGTATGAGTAAGTCCGACAGGAGGGGAGGAGGAAAGAGGAGGAGGGAAAAGGAGTAGGAGGCGTCCAAGTAATAAGAAGAACCCCATCTTAGGATATGGGGAACAATACCCAACACGCAGCCAGCGCACTCTCCCGCAAGAGCAGGCGCGCGAGCAGTCGGGAACCTGCATCGGGAAGGGACAGGGCGACAGGGGAGACCCACAGCCGCGGGCAGTTGCCACGAGCTTCGCCAGGAACCTGCGGCGGGAGGAGAAATGACGACACAACTATGGATGATCAGAGGACTGGCCGCGCATGCCGCTTGCCACGCAAGCATGCGCACAAAATGCTGCAACGGAATCCAGAGGCCTCCAGCCAGCTAGCGGCCCCTCCAAGCGTGCAGCCCGGACTAGGGCCAAAGGGCGGGCGAGAGAGGCTTCGGCGGGACCTCTCCACGCCGCAGACGCCCAGCAGCGGGGAGGGCGCGGGGCGTCGGCGGCGCCAGGCAGAGAGAGAAGAGAACACAGGGACAGAATGCAGCGCCTGGCAGCCTGAATTCCCCGCGCATTTCACCATGGCCAAGCGGGAATTGGCGCGGCCAAGCAACATAGACCGTATCCCACTCGTTCTACCAATACGTGGCCGACTCCGTCATGGGGGCGATGCCATCGGGGCAACGCGCCAATGATGGATTGTGGCAAAGGCTTCATCGGAAGCACCATTGTATGAAGGACTGCGAACATTCTGATGGAACTCGCGTATGATAGATCAGACATGCAACACACGGCTTGAAAAGGCAACACTCTGGAAAGGAGGACCCTACATTGACAGGGGAGAGAGGAGTGTAGCAGAGGTGGTTGTACTGGTGAGCAATTCTGAGGAGGACGAGGCGTGCGGAAGGGACACACATAGAGAGCAGGCGGGAGGAGAAGGATAACAAAAGAGAGTAGGATGGATCAGAGGGAACGAGGTGGAAGGAAAAACGCGACGAGTGGAGGAGCATGGATCGTCAAGCTCACCCGCCTCCTCCTCCTCCTCCTCCTCCTCCTCCTCCTTATCCTCATTATCCTCCTTGGCCTCCTCCGACTCTCCTCCTCTTCCACTTCCTCCTCCTCCTCCTCCTCCTCCTCCTCACTCCTGCCCCTTCCTCCCCCATTTCTCCTTCCCTCCTCTCCCAGCCCTCCCCGCTCCCCTCTCTGCCATCCGCGTGATCTCCCGTGGATGAACCCCGAACGACGACGACTACGACGACTACGACGACATGCTGATTCTGTCACGGCGCGGATTCGCCGAACTCTCGACCCCCTTCCACAGGGTCGGTCTCCCGTCCGCTGTCAGCCTCCGACGGCCCGCGGGGCCCAGAAGGGGCCCCCGGAAGCCGAAATCCGAGACACCCGCCGATCTGAAATTCTTTCAATCCGCGGCCCAAGGAGCCCCGACCGCTTCCCGGGGGGGGAACGTAGTTTTGCCCCTGAGCTCAAAGAAACTGCTCCCGAGGGATAAAATCAAAGACGCACGCCCAAATAGAACAAACATCAGATCGTCGATCGGAGATTCAGGGAAACAAGCGCGATCTTACCAAAATCTCCTACCGTGACGACGATGATGGTGCTTCGAGTGGACCCCACACACGCCCTGCAGTCTGGCCGCGAACACCTTCCTAGGAACAAGGCCCACTTCCAGAAGGCAGGCTCTGAAGAGGACTCGAGCCACAAAGCTCCAGGGCAGCACAGGGGGAGACGAGGGAGGGGGGGGGAAGGAGGCGGGGGGAGGAGGGCCAGGGGGGAGGGAACCAAAGCGAGGAGCCCGAGCGAGGAGGGAAGGCGGGAAGGAAGGGGCGCGGGCCCTTTTCGCCAAGGGCTCCTCGGGCCCTCTCGGGCCCCTCCCGGTCTGCTCCGCCCGCCCCCCCAGGGGAGCCCCTGCGCGCCCATCGGGGCCACCCCGGGGGGCCGCTCGGAGGGGTCTCCGATCAGGGTTTGGGGGTATGCTGCAGGGCCTGGTCTGCGTGAGGGACGGTATGCCCATACAACATATCCCTAATCAGAGGGTCGGGTGTTGGGGCGTTGGACCTCCCAGGGCGCGGTTTCGGAGGCCTTCCGGGTTCCCCCGTCCCATACGTGCCCCCCAGGGCGCACGTAGGACGGAAGGGACAAGGAGGGGGAGTAGAACAAGGAGGACGACCACGAAAAGAGGTAGAGAAGACGAGAAAGAGGACGAGGACAAAAAGGAAACGAACAAGGGCGGGATGGAAACATTCGGTCAAGCTTTGCGGATGCCGCTCCTGCTGAATAACACTCTCCCCAACGCGTCAGCCAAACATTCCGTCTACCCGTCCTCTCTCCCCCCTGCGCCTCTATATTCCTACTCGAACCCCGCTCATCCTTGTTGATTGAAAAAACACTTTGGGAGTTGGGGGTGTCTTGAAAGATAGAGAGGCGAGGGCCTCCCAACGGAACGGAACGGAACGGTCGCTCAAAACGAGCTGCGCGCTCGCGCGGCTACGTGCACTCACAGGCTCAGCGGAATTGGTCAGCCCATCGTGTCAGAGGGCGCCCGCGGGCTCTCCGCCCGTCAGGTGTCCAGTCGTGGACTCGCCGGGCCCACCGGTCGTAGCTCATGCCATTGAGTCTTTCGCTCCAGCCCTGCAGCCGGGATCGGCGCTCCTCCGTCCAGCAGGGTACGTGGTGTTCCTCCATCCAGTGGCGCGCCTCCGTCGTCACACGCTGTACCCAATCTACCCATGTCTCCACGTCCCCGTCCTGCTTGTACAGTCTTCCCCGCCCCAACATAGCCCGGACCATTTTGAGCTGTGTCCCATTCAGTTTTGAATCTCGTTCCGCTGTCATTACCCAGCTGCCGCAACCATACAGCGCTGTCGGGGTGACCACGGAATGGAAAAGCTTCATCCGAAGACCAATTGGCACTGCTTTGTCAGTCAGCTCGCGCCTGAAGGTGCCGAACTTAGCCCACGCCCTCTTCAGTCGGTGCGTCAGCTCAGCGTCGTGGACGGCCAGAAGCGTAAGCGCCCTGCCTAAATACATATTGGTTTCCGCGGGCTCCACGACTTCGATATTCATCCCCTCTACCACCGCCAATCTGACTTTGCTGCCATAACCAATGTTGTTGTGCTGTATCTTCGTCTTGTCCGGGTGGAGCTCCAGCCCGACTTTCGCTTCATTTGTTTGAGCTGTGGTAGGGAGCGGCCGCCAAGCAAAATGTCATCTGCAAACCTCAAATTGGTTAAAACAGAATGTCCTGTGTAACCAAGCTGCACGCCGTACCTTCTGGCAGCCCAATGTGTTTTCACCTTACGCATTACCTCCTCCAGCACACAGTTGAAAATAACCGGACTTCTGGGATCGCCTTGTTTCGTCCCCTTTAAGATGCCGAAGTCGCGGCTCGTGACGTCGCAGTTGACGTGCGCCCGTTGCCCGCTATACAGTCTGGAGAGCATGCATACGTAGACAGACGGTACTCCGTGAGCCACCAAAGACTCCCAAATGCTCGAATGAGATATGGAATCAAAAGCCTTTTTGAAATCCAGCGTCGCAATCCACAGCGGCATGTTGTATTCATTACATTTTTTCTGCAAGTAGTGTGGCTGCAAATAAATGGTCGTCACAGTTGAAGCCCGGTCTGAATCCAGCTTGGTCGACAGACTGCTCCGCAACAAGCTTAAAGCTTATACAATATTGGAATAATGCATATTGGTCTGTAATTCCCCGGTAGACGTTCGTCCCCTTTCTTGAAAAGGACTCTGATTGAGGATGCCTTCCAGTAGGCTGGCACGGTGGCCCCCGGGTCCAATACAGCCGTGAAGACGCCTGCTATCATCTGCATCAACAGCTCGCTCCCTTTGCACAAGAGTTCAGCCACCAAGCCGTTTTCATCTGCAGCCTTGCCCCCGCGCATCTTCTTCAGTTGGCGGCGCACTTCCTCCGGCGTGACAGCAGCAGCACGATCGCAAGTAGCATCACATCGAAATACGTCGCTTTTGCCAGTGTACAAAGATTCAGAAAATGCAGCAAACACTTCAGCTATATCTCGTGCTTGCGTCTGCTCTTTGCCCCCGGCGTCTAGGACCGAAGACAATACTTCTTTCCGTTGTTACGTATACCTTGGATCCGCTGCAAATCTTCGAACTCTTTCAAAACTTGCGTTATCCTGGAATTCTTCCGCGCCCTGGCCATTGCACGGATCTCCTTACGAATCAGCTTACTCGCATTATTCACCTCGTTCTTGTTTCCGCTCTGTCTTGCTGACCGCCGTTGCGCAATCAAAATATGGAGCTGTTTCCTTGCAGTCTCGCTTTCTAGAGCCTGGAACTGTTCCCTCTCATCGCAAGCCTCCGCAACGTCAAGCAGTACATTTTCAATTTGACGGCATCTATCTTCGATCTCGGAACATGTCTGGCCGGGATTGTCGATCGCTGCTAGGGGCGCCAACTGCGCATCAAGCTGTTTGTGGTACTCCTCCTCGTCTCTCGGCCTCCATCTCCGGAAGTTTCGCCTATGAGACCCCCAAAGGCGAAAAACAAGGCAATGATGCCAAACATTGGATAAACAAAACGAGGAGTTTCTCGAGATGTTGGTGGATTGGGTCCGAAGGCCATGACTTTTCAAGGCCGTCGGTGATCCGAGTCGTCGGCGAAACGTCGGTCGGCTACATGCAAGAGCAACCCTGAGCAAAAGCGACCTTTGGTGCGCGACCTTCGGGGAACGCCGGGGTGCCAAACCCGAGCGTGGAAGCCGCTGCTACCGAATAATCTTCAAACATCTGGGGTCCCCCAAAGACACCCCCAAGACGGCCCCAAGAGGCCCCAAATAGCGCTCCAGGGCCGGCGGGATGAGCGAAGCGATTAAATAATCTTCAAACATCTGTCCCCAATGTGCGAGCACCAATTGTCTCTCCGGTGAAAGGTCACTCTTACGTGTAGCCCCGGGCGAGCCTTAACTGGGAGCCTCTGTGGACCTCCGCGGCCCTATCATAATTAAACGTCCTTTCGACAGGAATTTGCCCAGATTTCGACAACCTCGCTTCACCCTGTGGTCCAGATTTCGTCCCAATCCCACGAGATCTGGACGGACACCCCCAGACCGCAAGGAATTCTGGAACCTCCTGAGGCTCCCATGAAGGACCACACAACGTAGCCGAGTCGTCGCCGACGCTGACCGACGATAGTCGACGCTATTCGACACTGAATCGGCGCTGAATCGACGCTCATCGACGCTCCATCGGCGCTATCTCATCGATTATACCAGACGCTAGCCGACGCTGGTGCGCTGTCTCAAGATGGTACTGCGAGGGCATACGAGGCTGCAATGATTTGCTACCGAACCTTACGGCAAACTCGTGTCGTGTCGACCTGGGCGTTGGTTCCTGACACCGCGGGGACTGTTAAACCTTGAACGATCGGCCGTTTCCGCGACTTCTGATCGTTCAACATCGACCGATTCTGGGCCGCCGCCGGTCGACACGACACGAGCCTACCGTGCAGACGAGTCCTCGGCGACGCGCCGCGGCGGCGGCGCAGCGCGGCCGGCGCGGCAGCGACGACGCGGCCGGCGGCCGGCGCCTGCCGCTGCAGCACGCCGGGCCCGGGCTCTGCGGTCGACCGCTGCCTGCGCGCCGCCCCTCCTGGCTGGGGCCCTCCAGGATTCGCAGATCGATCCAGACCTCCTAAGATGCTTCCCTATCCTTGTCCTCCTTCTCCTTCCTCCTCTCCCCCTCTCGATCTTCTTCCCCCTCGAGTTGTGTTGCTCCCATCGTACTTAAGGACCATATCCCAGAAATAATTTCGAGCACCTGAAAAAAATGTCGAAAGAGTGTCGAAACAGTGTCGAATCAGCGTCGGACGAGTGTCTGCCAGGGCCCGACACGTGAAAATCCTAGAGTTTCGGTACTGTTCTTGTGTGCCCGAAATTCTTTCTGGTGATCAGGGCTATACACTAGGCTGGAACATCCTAGCCCTACAGATCACTGTCTCTTTTCGGACATGGCCCGGGCTATCCGGTGGGGGGGGGGGGCTGGCCGACCACGTTTTTTTGGCCCGGGGCAGCCCCACGCATGCCCGCCCGCACAAAGGGACTGCGCACCCACTTGCGGGCCTGCGCAACCTGCTTGGTCAGATTCTCGAGGGGGGGGGGGGGGAGGCGGGCGGGCTCAATGACCAGGTTACAGCCGGACTATGACAAAGATAATCTCCTAGAGATCCAAGGCTCCGAAAAACATTGGAGCGGCCCGTTTTGGATGATCAGCGGGTGCCGGGAGTCCTCCACGGGCCCCAGGACCGTGAGAAGAAGGCCTCAGGATGCAAGTCCCATGGATGGTTGCCCAGATGTCCTGGGGCCCACGCAGCAGACAACATTGAGACGTCAGATGTTCAGCCTCTGTCGTCTCGAAAAACTAAATGAATTTGTTTTCGCATTTTTTCCCCCCAAACATCCTGTGGTGTTGGGTCCTCGTTTTGAAGAGACGGTGCCCCGCGTTCCTCCTCCCGCTGCCCCCTTCCCCCCTCCTCCCATCATCATCACCATCCTCATCATGCTCATCATCTTGAGTATCGTCATCATCATCATCATCATCATCATTCACATCGTGGTTGTCGGTCATCATCATCGCCATCACCATCACCATCATCATCATCATCATCATCATCATCATCATCATCATCGTCATCATCATCATCATCATCATCATCATCATCATCATCGGCACACCCCTCACACGTTTCGTGGCCCCATAGGGAGCTCCACCGAAGGCCCAAATGGCTGCGTCCGCATGCCGCCGCCGCCCAATTTTGGCACACCCCTCACACGTTTCGTGGCCCCATAGGGAGCTCCACCGAAGGCCCAAATGGCTGCGTCCGCATGCCGCCGCCACCCAATTTTGGCACACCCCTACCCCTTACACGTTTCGTGGCCCCATGGGGAGCTCCACCGAAGGCCCAAATTGCTGCGTCCGCATGCCGCCGCCGCCCAATTTTGGCACACCCCTCACACGCTTCGTGGCCCCAAAGGGAGCTCCATCTAACGCCCAAATGGCTGCGTCCGCGTGCCGCCGCCGCCCCATATTTGGCACACCCCTTACACGCTTCGTGGCCCCGTGGGGAGCTCCACCGAAGGCCCAAAATGCTGCGTCCGCACGCCGCCGCCGCCCCCTCACGCGTTTCGTGGCCCCATAGGGAGCTCCATCTAAAGCCCAAATGGCTGCGTCCGCATGCCGCCGCCACCCCATATTTGGCACACCCCTTACACGTTTCGTGGTTGGCTGGAGCTCTACGCGCTGCTCTCGCGCGCCACGCGCCACGAGGATCTCCTGCTCATGCGGGCGCCGCTCATCGAGTTCTTCCTGGCAGGGCCGCCGGAGGGCTTGCGGAAGCAGCTGGAGCAGTTTGCTGCGCGCACGAAGCGGTGCAGGAGGGAGGCGACGGCCCTCGCCTGAGAGCTGGGCTTCAGCGAGTTCATCCGCGAGGCCTGACCTGGGGAGCGGCCCCGCACGAGCCAGCGGCGCGCGCTGGTTGTCGCTGACGCTTGGATGACCCCAGCTCGTCGTCGGGATTTCTCGCCAGAGGATGACCGGCGCCTGTCGGGGGATTTCACCCAGATCGCGCCATTTTCGCACGCCTCGCCACGCAGTTCGGGGGCGCTATTCGTTGACTCAGAGTCGCAGTGAACAACCCCCGCGCGTCGATGGGATTCCCTCGGGATGACCAGACCGCGTCGGCGAGGACTTCCCAGGAACTTTCGCGCGGCGCCACCTGCGCGCTGCATTCTGCGTGGCTCGCTGTCGGTCTGGAGGCAAAAACTTCTCCCCTCGTCTCTCGCTCCTCCTGCTTCCCATCGCTTCTTGACCGCGCGCTTCCCCGTCTCGTTTCTGCCGCTGCTGACCTGCCTTCGACATCTACACGGTGTCTCCGTCACCTCTTCCTGCGTGCCCAGTAACAGGTTTCATGATGCGATGATGATACTGATGTGTTGGCTCGCCCCAGTGAGCTCTCCTCCTCCGCCCGCCACCTCCTGCCCGCGCTGCCCTGTGCCTCGTCCATGCAGTGGCGCGGTGCCTATGAGAAGAGGGGCCTAGTTTGCGTGCCCCCTCCTTCGTCTCATATCCGTGCGGTACTCGCAGCTGCATATGTGGTTGGGTCCTTCGCCAGGCTATCTTTTCTTTTTTTTTCTCTGGAACTCTCGGCGTGCCAGCGCTTTGCCCCGTGAGGGGAAGGTCTCCAACGGCTCAGCGTTGGCCGGTGTGAGACCGCCACTAAAATTAACACTGCGAGGCCGTGACGAGGGCGGTGTAAATTTCCGCAAAGTCGGCGCGCGCCGAGGGCGTCTCGGCGCACGGGGCGCCTTCCCGCTCAGGCCTCATCGACCTTCTTCTTGGTATCCATGTACTTGTCGTACATGGTCTTCGCGCCTTCCTTCGCGTCCGCGGGCAGGGCGCACGCCATGCAGTTCATCGTCCGCACCGCCGACCCGCCGTTGCAGAGCATGAACGGCTTCATCATCGCAGGCATCTTCTCCGCCGCCTGGGAGTCCATCTCTTCCAGCGCCTTCTGCGCCATCTCCTTGGCCTTCTGCTTCATGGCCTCCATGGCGAGTGGAGGACTTCTGGGCGGTCGCGGGCAAGGAGTCAGGTGCAGAGGGCGAGACGCGCCCCGAGTGGTCTGAGCCCAAGGTCGCTTGAGCCAAAATGGCTACGGAGAATTTGTTTTCGCAATTTTGGGCCTCAGGGGACCCCCCGCCCAGACAGGAGACCTTCGGGGACCCCGCATTGAGCGACTCAAGGCTGCGGACGTTTGGAGAGGTTCGAGGCGGGAGGGTCGAGGATCGAGAGCGAGGAAGGATCGGGAGGATGCTTGGGGAGAATCGAGGCCCACTTGACTGAGCACCCGTTCGGTGAGGTGAAGAGCTCAGACACGAGGGAGTGAGAACGCCGGGAGTGTCCAGCGCCACGCGCGGAGAGGGGCAGGTGGGGACGACCCCCGCCCATCCCCCTCCTCCTCCTCCTCCTCCTCCTCCTTTCTTCTCCTCCTCCTCCTCCTCCTCCTCCTCCTCCTCCTCCTCCTCCTCCTCCTCCTTTCTTCCCCCTCCTCCTCCTCCTCCTCCTCCTCCTCCTCCTCCTCCTCCTCCTCCCTCTACACCTCGCGCCACTCCTGTCGGCGGGGCGCGCCAAGCGGGGAAGTGAGAGGGGGGGCCGGCCTCCTCCGAGGGCGGCGTGGCTTCGGAGGAGGCTCAGAAAGCTGCGCAGGACGGCCCGAGGGCTCCCGAGCCTTCCGGAGAGGCCCGCCCCATCCCCTGCCCCCCGGGGCGCGCCCCCCTCCTGGGGCCCCAGGGGCTGATATGATCGCAGTTCGAGGTGGGAGTGTGGAGGACCCAGATCCCCCGAGGAGGGAAGAAAGCACGGCGGCACATGTTCGACGGCTTTCGACCCCTGGGAGGCCCTCGACCGGCACCGGGGCCACCAAAGGACGGCCAGAGCTGGGGGTCCACGTTGCGACAAAAAATCACGACGCCGGGGATCCGGGTCCTGGGGCCCCAGGGGTCGAGGATGGAGGTTCGAGGCGGGGGGGTCGAGGATGGAGGGCGGGGGAGGATCGAGGAAGGCAATTCGAGCGATGGATGGAGTGGGGGGATCGAAGATAGAGGGGTTGCAAGGACCAGTCGACCGAGAATCGAGGAGGGGGACGATCGGGGATCGAGGGAGGGGGACGGTCGAGGATGGAGTACAGTACATCCGAAGCTTTACCCTGAATGACCTTGGATAAGGAATGAAAGCCTTCGGACGTCTCGTCCCGCTCCGACCCCTTCCCCCTTCCCTCCCTCCATATCCTCCAGCACCCACATTCAACTTCCTCCAGCACCCACATTCAACCTCCCTCCATCTGCCCCACATTCAACCTTCTCCAGCACCTGCTTCCTATCATCTTCCTCATCATCATCCTCTTCTTCCTCGTCCGCCCCCGCCTCCTCGCCGTCATGTGTCTCCTCTGCCTCCTGGATTTCCTCACAATCCCACCTTACCCCTCTCCATCTCCTCCCTCCGCTCTTTCACTTCTGCTGCGGCTTCCGCCTTCTCCTTCGCCTCCGCGAAGCTTGGATGGCAGGGCGGATGAACAGGACAAGGAAGCGTAGACGAAGAGGGATGCAGCCGAGATACAGAACAACAGAAGAAGCGGCGGCGCTTCAAAGGACGACACTCAATATCAGCTGACATGCTCCGCTGCGGGGGACGCCGGCTCCTGTGCGGCAAGAATCCTTCTAGACCCCCTTTGTGCGGAAGCCTGGGGAACGTGAAACTGCGAGCCGCCGTGGGACACCTCTACGGTGGAGCACCCACTATCCGTGACTGCTGTTCGACCGTTTAGTTGGCGGCGCCGGAAAAGGAGGCGGCCTTCTGAGAAGGCGGCGGGGCTTCTCAATTTGCAGGGGGTCCCAGAAGCTTTCGGGAAGGCTTCTCAGAAGCCAGGCGGGCCAGGCGGCCTGGGCGGGCTTACGAGAAGTGCCCCCTGCCTTCTTACACGCCACGCCGCCCTCTGAGGAGCCCACCCCCCTCGCGTCAGTCCCTTGTAGGTGTCGCCCCCAGTTGGGGAAACCAACACATACCGATGCCGCTACCCCCCAGACCTCTACTAGGGTGCCTCCGGGAGGCACCCTAGTAGAGGTCTGGGGGCAAGACTACGCGAAAAACAGCCAAAGTTAGCGGTAGTGGTACCTACTTCTCCTCTTACCAGCCGCCCCAGGACAGGCATCCCCAGCTGGGGAACACCCCGCCCATGTAGCGGCGCCATCAAGGGGGTGGCGCGAGGGGGCGGCATTTCAAAAAGAAGGCAGCGAAACTTTTTAGAAGGCAGGGAGCGTTCTGAGAAGGCCCTGGAGACTTCCAGAAAGGCTTGTTACAAGCCGGAAGCCCGTCGGGCTTTCGAGAAAAACTCACTGTCCCACCACCGTCGCGACACGAGAGGAAGATAACTGAATGAACAGGTGTGGCATAAACTTTCGGAGGCCCACGCGGATTTCTTAGATCTGCGCTGGACCTCCCTCCCTGGCGCGCGGAGCGCGCCATGGGCGGAACCAGAGGCGCCGCCAGGGGTCCCAGCGCCGATCCCAGAAATCTGCGCGCATCTCCGAAAGATGAAACTCATCCCGCTGCTTGTCGAGGACATACATGCATCCCCTGCGGTGGCGCACCCTACCTCGTGGGCGAACACCATATCCGTATCCGCGGCATTGCGGGCTGGGCCCCCGGCCGCGAGCCCGCGGATACGGGGCGGGTTTTCGCGGATGCCCCGCGCGGAGCGTGACCGTGCGGCCGCGTATCCGCGGGATCGCACCCAGGAATTCAGACCACGAGGGCGCGGATACTGAGAATCATGTATGCTCGCATCTCGTGAATCCCCCGCCCTGCATGATGAAATGCTGATGCCCTCCCTCCTCCCCCTCCACTCTCCCCACCCCTGCCTGCGCCACCCCCTTCTGCTCCTCATCCGAGTCGAGACCGCAGGCGTGCTTCCGAACTTCCAGGCCTCAGTCCCGCTGACATGTCGCACTGGCTGTCTGGCTGGTAGACTGACTGTTCACCCGTGCCCTGCACGGGGCCGTGAGTCCACTGTGCTGTGGCGCACCCTGCCCGTGCTGCTGCTCGACGGCCGGCCCCTCCCCCGCCGCCTCAACACCGCGCTGCCAAACCCGCTGGCGCTCAGCGACGCCGGCCGCCCGTTCTGCTCCGGCAGCTGCCAGCCCAGCGGCGGCCCTGGCGGCCCGCGCGGGAGAGCCGGCGGCTGCCAGAAGCGTCTCGAGGGAGACCCAGACCCCCTCGGGTCCCGAAACAAGAACAACGGGAGGGCTTTCTAGCTATCTGCCTCTGGGGGCCCTCGCCAGGAGCTGGGACCGTAAGGAAACTACTCCGGACGAAAAGCCGGTCTCGGGACCTCCTGGGGTCGACGTTGTGAACAAATCATGGCGTCGGGGATCTGGGAGCGGGCGAGGTCTGCAAGGAGGCATCCGCCAGCGGGGGGGCCACGGGGAGGATGGAGGATTGAGGAAGATCGAGGATCGAGGAGGCTTCAGAAGGATCGAGGATGATCGGGGAAGATCCGCAAGCATCAGGAGGATCCAGGAGTATTGAGGACGACCGACCAGGGAGTCGCGGTGGCGCTGCGCAAACCGCTCTGGATCTCGGAGTCTCGGCCCGTCCTGTGAGGCGGTGCACAGCTAGGGTCTAAAGAGAGATAGGCGCGACGACACTCTGGACGAACGAACGAACGACGGCGACGCAGGAAGACGAATCCACCAGCCTTTTGGGAACCGACGAATACTGATATCCGATACCGCCACTCCGAACTCCCCAGACCTTCTCCCGGAGAGCCTTCTGACCAGGACTGCGAGGCGAATCCAGCCGTGCCGACGAGGGCCTCCCAGGAGGCCCGAAAAGGCGAAGACGAGGCAAGTGTAGCGGAATCGATACTTTCCAATTCCTTGGCGAGAGGAGGTCGCAACGGCGGATTGTGGGCTTCTACTGGCCCAGGTCAACAAAAAGCTGGGTCAGTCAGGCTTTGCAGGCTCCTGCAAAATCCGCCAGGATCCTGCATGATCCTGCGCGCTAACCCAGGTCAATGCAACCCTGGCCTTGCGGGATCCTGCGAGATCTGGCGCTCTGGCTGACCCCGCGTTTGCACTGGTCCCCGTCTGTATATCAGCTCGAGGATTTACCCGCAGCACATACTGTTGGGGGCCTGCGGCGGACCGCGGGTGCAGAACGGGCTACGAGACACCCTGCGGACCTGGCCCCGCGCCCCTGGCGAGGGCGAGGGGGCCTTGGAGGCCGTGGGCAGGGACTCGGAGGGACGCAGCAATGTTGCCCATTGGAGCGATGTGCCCGGCGGACGCGGACGAACTGGCGCTGTCCGCGCCAGGCACGGCCCCCGCCAGGCTCATCGACGCTTGCCCTCTCACCGCCGAGCACTTCGCCGACGTCGAGGGCCGCATGCTGAGAAGACCCGACCCGATCATGGAGGAGGAAGAGGAGGAGGAGGAGGAGGAGGAGGAGGAGGAGGAGGAGGAGCTGGACGGCTGGACGGTCAGATGGTATACCGCGACTCCTCCTTGAAGTCAAGATCAAGACGTTTGCGTCTGGCCGAGGCTGTGGGATGCCAGGATGCTTACCTTCACCAGCTCGCGCGTGGAAGCCGCATCGCTGCTCGGAATCAGAGAGGTACGCGGAGGAGACGAGCGAGCAGGGCCGGGTCCGGGCCCTCTGGGACGAAAGGCGTGCCAACTCGAGATGGCAGCGGCCTTCGTACGTGCCGCTCGGGAGCTGACGGACGTTCAGCCACCTCGCCGACCAGCCATGACTGGGGGAGCTGTGGTCCTTACCCCCCTGGGTGAACCCATCGCATCGACGATCTCTCGAGAGGGGTGTCGAAATCGATGGGTCCCCCAGGGGGGTAAGGACCACAGCTCCCCCAATTGTGGCTAGCCTGCCTCGACCTGTCAAAGCACGACGAGGAGGGTAGCATCTACTTACGCGGCCATCGGCGACATGCCAGACGTGTTCAACCGCTTGGAGATATTTTAGCTCAAGCCCTTTTGGCTCAAAGCGTTTGGCCGAAGCTTCACTTTTCGCACACAAAAGGGCAGGCGGACCCGGTATGTTCGTTGGCGTTGCCAGCTTGTTTGGACGCTCACGTAGCCATCCATCGCGCCACCCGCCAATGGCGAGACGCGCGCCATCCAGAACCGGCGAGGCACCGCCAGGCTCACGCGAGACAAGCGACTGACGGATTATTAGTCAGAATATGCAAGGCTGAAGAGAACAACATGGCCTGTGGCGGCAAGTCTCCCGCAGAGGCTGGTAAGGCGCCCGAGGCGAAGCCGAGGGTGGCCAAGATCCTGGGCACCTCCAACACCCACGAGGCCTTCCGAGACGAGTCGCAGGACAGGAAACACAATCCGCAGCAGAGGCTCTACGGCGCAGAGGCTGGCGAGGCGAAGCTCCGGGACGACGAGATATGCCGCCTGATCCAGCAGGTACCCAAGGACAAAGCGGAGGCTTTATCCTATAGCACTGACTGGTCCAGCGTAAACGAACGCAATATCATGGAGAAGGGGTTGCGGCCTTGGGTGAAGAAGAAAGAAGAAAGAGTATTTGGTTGGGAGCTGAAGGAGTGCCTGGGTGAGGAAGTGGACAACTTGAAGATGTGGCGCATACTCGCCTTCGACGCACTTCGCGTGAAGGATGACCCACGGACGATCGCACGGCCAGTCTGTTGGACCAGCGCTACAGTCAACCCGTATAAAAAGGACGCACGATAAGGATGCCAGGGCCTTGGAAGGCCATGTCGACACTTTGCGAGCGGGGCTCGGAGAGCGAAAGCGGCCAAGGATGGGCCGAAGGGGAGGATGCAAGGGTAACCTTGGAAAGTCGTTCATGCTTACCATGCGGGCTGACTGTATATTATTCTTTCTGTTCCTGCACTGCAGGGAGCTCATGAGGGCCAGCAGGGTCCCAGGGCCTCGGACGGAGAACGACAGCACGACCACCGCGGCACAATGGCCCACGCCACGTGGCCGAAGAGCGGTGAAGGCCCGAGGCCTCGGCTAGGGCAAAGGGGCGCTTTCAGCGACGCGCCCCGGGTGAGGCCGACGGCGGCCACCGTGGAGCTCGCAGCGGAGCTCCCAGGCGGCGGGCGTGGCCTGGACGGTGGCTCACAGGAGACCGAGAAGCGCTGCAGTCGATGCTCTCGCCGTCCTCCTCGTCGGGCCAGGGGCAGGCTTCGCCAGGCTCCTGCGCGTAGGCCCTTCTCTGGAGCCGCCTCACGAATGGCTGCGGCCTATGCCCATGGACGAGTGCATCGACCCCAACGCCAGCCTGAGTTGGCGGAGTGCGCAATGATCATCGGGAACGACCCCATGAACGTACTCGAGGGCCTGCAGCTCCACGAGGGCGCCCGTGACGTGGCCGAGTGCGTCGTCGAGCGGGCGGTGAGGAACGGCGCCAACAGCTTCACCGATGACTGGGGCTCGGTGGCGACGAAGACGAAGGAGTCCAAGGGAATAACCTCGAGCGCGCTTCGGACTGCGAGGTCGCCGACGAGAAGAACCTCAAGGGGGCCTCGGACAGCGAGGCCGCCGATGAAGCGAAGGGGATCATGCCGACCATGAACGACGAGGGAATGCTGATCCAGAAGAGCACTACTCCCACCAGCCCTCTGGGCGTAGGTGGTTTAAGGACTTTCCTCTTCCACCACCCTTCTTCCCCTCCGGGGAGGGGTCTATCACTGTTCCCTATAAATGAACACCCCGTCCCCCCACCTGACCGGCAGCCAACCCGGAACCATGCGCCCCCCCCTTCCATCAAAAGACAATAGGAAATGCACATTGCGGGGCCCACCCTGCCAACCAACACCCCCCACAATTCCTTTTAAACCAAGAAATAGAAAAACCAACTTGCAGCAAAATCTGGACAATGCGCTGGCGCCTTGTGAGCACGTTGTATTGTTTTTAGTGACAAGGATGGCGGGGCACCCTTAGTGAAGCCGCTTTGTGCAGGACCACCATCCGTGTCGAAAACAATGCAAAGTGCACGTTGCGACAACATCGTGGGTATTGTGCTGGCCACCCGCGATCACTTTGTACTGTTTTTTTGACAGGGACGGCGGTGGTGCCCGCGTGATGATGCTTGCTGTGCGCAGGCTCAAAACAATGCTGACGCCCCCCCCCACATCAGCATCTGGACCATGCGGACAGGGGGGCATCACGTTTTTTACAAGGATGGCACACCAACCGCATGTGGAGCCCGCGGCGAGAGTCGCGCACCTGGCGTCCGCTCTGGTTCCCAGTGGCTGTCCATCCAGTGGCGACCCCTGGCTATGCCGAGACTCGGATGCCACGTATGTGGTGGGAGGGCGGGTGGGAGTGAGCTAGACGGCTTGCGTGTGGAGAGGGTGTCTGGACCCCTCCCCTCTACCCCCTCCCCTGGACATGGACGGGGCCGTTCGCGAGCGGCCAGGGCGTCCAAAACGGCCTCGGCGAGGAAGCCAAAATCATTGGCTTTCCTGAGGTTGTGGCCCCATTGTGGCAACGCTAAAATGAACTCCCCTCTTCTTTGATCGATCTCCTCCAAGAGGCGCCCAGGAGGCCCCAAGAGGTCCCCCAAGAGGCCCCCAAGAGGCCCCCAAGAAGACCCCAAACGGCCTCAAGAGGCCCCCCCGAGGCACCCAAGAGGCCCAAGAGCTCCTCAGGACCGCCAAGAGACCCCCAAGACGTCCCAAGAGGCAACAAAGAAGCGCCCGAGAGATACCCCATGAGGCTCTGAGAGGCACCCAAGAGACCTTTGGCCTTTTTGCTTGCCCCCCTTCTCCTGCTCCTCCTTCCTCCTCCTCCTCCTCCTCATCCTATTCATCCTCCCTTTCCCCACTCCCTCATCCATCCATCCAGCCTCCTCCTCCTTCTCCTCCCTCCTTTGCACGGTTCGGCCGTCCCCCTCTTTGCTCCCGCACTTCCCTGATCACCTCAACTCGCCTGGACATCGTCTCTGGATGGACTGGTGGGGAAACGCGAAACGTCTAGAATTTCTACGACGGGGCGATCAATGACGACCCCGTGCTGGCAGGCATGGCCAGCCTGGCGGAGCAATTGAGCAATTCATTAGTGGCGCCTGCAGCGCCGTGTGCTGCGGCGCTGTCGGCACCAAGGCGATCTCGAAGATCTCGGAGATCAGGTCTATCTTCGGTGAGGTGCCTATCTGCAAGGCAGTTCTG